TAATTTTGCAGGCCCTATGCAGAAGATTTACCCCTCTCTTTCTCTTGATGGTCCCTGGATTGAATGGAAGCCAGGCTAATATCTCAGATATGAAAGTGAAAGCAGGATTACAAAGCCTATAAAATGCTATAAATGTAAATGGACCAGCAAGGTGAAAACTTGCCCTGATATATAGTACAAACATTTTTGGCCTTTTTTTTTTTCTTTTTCTTGCAAGATATTGCAGTATATCACAGTGATTTATTCCTTAATGTTAATATCGCATACTTGACTAGCACAGGGCTCAGTGCAATGTAAGTATCACAGGCAGTTTCCATCCCAAGCAGCATGGTGCACCTCCTGGGGACATCATTGCTAATTGCCATCTCTGGGTGCTACTATGTGATATCCTGTAATGAGATTCCAGGGTGAAAAAGTACTTAAAAGGGGAAAGATGAGTTTAGAGATCATGGATATATATCCAGAAGTCTGACCTACGTTCCCCTGCTCATAATGAACAGGAATATAATGCTTCCATTCTGCAACGCTTCCATTAAATTCTGCATTCAGTGTAGTTTGTAAATGCATCTGCATGCATGAATGTCTCTTGAAGAAAATATCGTACAGTCTTTAGTAAGAGATGAATCAATTAGAACAGATTTTAGAATAGATATTTCATTAGTGATTTCACTGCAATTAATTTATCTGAATTTTCAGCTAAAAATCAAACTGAAGAAGGATGGTATTGATTCTTGGCAATATTTTAAAAATATTAAAACTGATAACAAAAGGATTTCTGTTAAATTCTGTTTTGTACCTGGAGAAAAAAAATCCTACCAGGAAGCACATCACTTTCAATTAGATTCAACAGGACGTTCCTGTGTGTGAAAGTTGCTCTGCTCTGCCTGCAAAGAGCTCATCTCCTGGTTTTGCTCCCTTGAGCTTGTTTTGTGTGACACCTTGCAAACTGCTGGGCCTTGAACTCTTGGGCAGCACTAACTGTGAGTGGGAGGGAAGAAAATGCTGTCTGTAAGTGCATGGGAGCAGCACGATAAGGGATAACAGTGGTGTTGTTCTTTTTTTTTTTTTTTGGTAATACCATATGGAAAGTGCTAATAGGATCATTCTTTTGTGATGAGTGGTAAATATATTAAATACAAATGTTAATAGGCAGCATGAAATTGCTAACAAAATAGAAAATTACTAATAAGATCCGATGGGCCTCATTTTAATATTGAGAGTGCATCTGGATTTTAGAACCACCGTCCTTCCTGAGTGCACAGAATGTGGTGGGGCAGTAAACAGAGGTGGGTTTGGTGCAGAGATCAGAGATCTGTTTTGAATCCTTACACTGGTAGCCTGTAGCACCTGGAAAATGAGTGCTACTGTGCTTTAGAATAACCGAAGCAAGGCTCAACGCTTTTAAGAGAAGCATTGGAAATTCCTTTCCTAAAAATGCACCACCCCAAACACAAATGCATTGCACAGGGGGGAAGCTGAGAGCACAGGCAGAAAGACCAGACAGTGCTGAGAGAGAGAACTGGTAAATGGAGACAAAGGAATGTAAAATACATAGCGAGTAAATTAATTGGATAAACAGTAGGGCCAAGAGGTAAACCAGAACAGAGACCCGTGTCTTGTAATAATGCTTTCAAAACTACTTGGATTAAAGGAGAAAGTAGAGATCAGACAAGCTAATTAAAGTAGATGCCAACCTCAAAGGATAATGTGGACCTTAATTACTTACTCTTCCTTCTCTTCTTAACTAAGTGAATTTCCCAGCTGGTGTTTCTGACTTTTGCCAGACAGGAACCAGACTGAACTTTTCAACAAATGGAACTGGCAAGGTCCTGCTTCTCACCACGTTCATCCTTCCATTTATCCTTAGCTTTTAATTATTTTTCAGCCTGGTCATTTAGCTTCTCCCTTACTGAAAATCATTTAAGGAAATATTTGTGGGCAAGGCAGGGACTGGCTCAGATGCTGTAAGGTCCTGTACTCCTTCCAGTCAAGGCAATGTCCTCTTTCCAACCAGCTTAGGGCTCCTCAGCTGCTGGCTTTATCCAAACCAAGGTCCTGTCACTGTGACTCTCATACCCCATCTCAGCAAGATTTTGTGCACTTAACAACATTCACTTTTGGGCTTTGATGTTCTTCCTTGTTGTGGGTCACTTCTACATTTGGGATCATTTTGGAGGGTTTCCATCCTCCTGGATGCAGTGTCCAAAGGCTCAGGGCTGCATTTTTTACCTTCCAACACATTGCAAGTAATAAGTCTATCAGAAAAGCTGAGATGACTTGAAAAGCTTCATCCCAAAAGCAGGAAAAGTAAAAGTTTTGTTTTTTTTAGTCTCTCGTAAGTAATAAAAAAGAAATGTCAGTTTTGTATTTGGTGGTAAAATATCCCTGTAAGTGCAGATGTGATTTGTAGTTCTGGTGGATGGAGACAGGACACCAAAGGGCCTGTGTTGCTATTACAGAACTCAATAGCTGCTCTATCCTTCTAGATCTCTGGAAAGTGACTGTGGGGCTGCTTGAGGAGCTCTTTAGGGTTGATGTCCTGCTGTTCTTGGAGGGCTTCCTCTTGGTGATCACCCAACTGTAGTCGTCCTCTTTTTCCTGACTCTCTCGTCCCCAGTTTTGACAGGAGAATCAAATGAACAGATCCTCTTTCTGTCACTGTAAAGGGGCTGTTAATGATGGCCCCCAGTGATTCCAAGGGAGGTAGATAGGAAGGCACTCGTGGAGGGCAGAAAAGGAAACGGCATGCAGGCAGAAATAAAGGTGTGGGGAATGGTGTTCTGAAGCAGAAACAGGAGAATGAAATGAGGACCAAAGTGTGTCCAGGTACAGGTCCAAGGAAATGCATGGTATTGCTGTTTTCATCCACAACTTTCAAAGCTAGATTTAAAAACGTAAGATAGAAAGTGCTGTAAAAATCCAACAAGATGATCGCACCAAAGGGAGGCTATGGCACAGCCATTGCCTATGTCACATTCCAGTTTGAATTTATTTTATAAGACTAAAAGATGCTGAAGAATCACAGCCTCTGTACGGGAGTAAATGGGAAATGTATGCCAAGTGTGTCTCAACAAAAAATTACCTCTTCAATGGATTTGTGCTGTAAATGAGTACTCAGTCCACTGATAAGATACAACAAGTTGGAAGCACAGAAATGATTCAAGGAACGGCGGTGTTTTCCTTTTCTCTCACAACCTGCTAACAGAAATACTGCTCTGCTCGGGGTAGCAGCTATAGCAACAGTAGGATTTCTCTGGGTAGAGGTCAGAGAGTGTAAGCTGTTTTTCACTGCTGATCTGAACATGCCATCTCCACAATTGGCTATTATTGGTGGTGCTGGAAGTCCTTTCCTGTGATTATGTTTAATGTGGGGCTTGAGCAAGGTTGAATAATTAAAGCTGTCAGCAAAAAATGACGTACTTGTATACCTTTGAGAACAATTTAAAAATCATTTGCAGTCTCATTTTTCTTGAGAAAGTTATTAACAAAAGAACTGTCCACAGGATGGAGGAAAGCAGGCTTTGAGGGTATCTCTGTGTCTTTTCCACTGCGCAGAACATTCTTACCAATGGCAGTACTGTGAAAATCCTTGTAACTGAGTAGGCAGTATTTCTACAGGTGTGTTGGGGGTGAAAACCAGTCATCAGCTCAGTAAAAGGGCACAGAGCCACTGGCCAGGCAGAGGGGGTTGCCTGTACTCAGCCATATTTACTCAGTGCCTGGCTTTAGGAGTCAGAGGTACGTGATGGGTTCATGTCTTCGTGTCCATAGCCATGCCATATTGCTTGCTGTGCTTTCCTGCTTTTCAAAAAGCAGCCTGTGTACCACCAGGATGCAGGTGGTGGGAGGGATGGCTGAATTTTGTCTCTCAAGTCTTATGAGAAGCAGTTGAGGGGACTGGGGTTGTTCAGTCTGGAGAAGAGGAGGCTCAGAGGAGACCTTACTACTCTACAGCTCCTGAAAGGAGGTTGTGGTGACGTGGGAGTCAGCCTCTTCTGGTTAACGGTGAAAGGACAAGAGGTGATGGGCTCAAGTTGTGCCAGAGGAGGTTTGGGTTGGATATTAGGAAAAACTTCTGCTCAGAATGGTGAAGTATTGGAGCAGACTGCCCAGGGAGGTGGTGGAGTCACCATCCCTCGAGATGTTCAAGAGCAGCAGAGATGGCACTGAGGGACATGGGTCAGTGGGCAATATTTGTGATAGGTGGGCAGTTGGAGTAGATGATCTTAGAGGTCTTTTCCAACCTTAATGATTGCATGATGCTGAGGTGCTCTTGCTTAATGAACAGTTTCCCATTTGTACTTCAATGTGCTTTTCCTGTTGTGCTGTGAATACAGCTATTCTCAATTTTTTGGGGATGTGCTCCTGTGAATATCCAGCTTTCTCTGCAGCCTCAGTGATGATGCTTGAGATTAAACTTTGAACTACACCTGCTCCAGACACAGCATGCAGGAGGAAACAAAAGCCGTGTCAGTTTCCCTGCTGGTCTTTCTGTACATGTTGCAGCAGGTGTATTTATACAGCCTGGGCTGTGGGTTTGCTTTAACAGTGCTTGGCATCACTGTCGGGCTGTGGCACTGGCTGTCTTGCAGATCACTGGGATCTCACCGCCACTTACTGCTCTCATTTGCAGAGAAGGGGATGCACATGCAGCTTTTTGGGCATGCCATAACATAACCTCCATAGAGAAGCACTTCTATGAGGTTCCTTGCTATCACCAATTGGTGCTCCAAGAATTCAAAATTTCAGCTTCTATATCAGCACAGTCGTGTTACAGTTTCTGGGGATGTGCAATCACAGAAGCTGGCTTTCTGCAAGCACCAGTTTCTCATACCAGTGTTTCAGCAGGGTTGTGTGAAAAATGTACTGCTAACTTGCCAAATACAGGAAAAGATAGCGCTGATGCCTTCTGCAGAACATTCTGAGGCTGGAGGGTTCTCGTGGGGCTCTCTGATAGAAATGTTACATTAAGTCATTTTTTCTTTCCATCTGTCTTATAGGATATCTGCATCGTAAAGGAAACACTTGAGCTGTATGCTTCCATACAACATCACATCTCTAGATCACGCTGAATTTAAGGACAAACCTCTTCCCTGGGTTGCTTGCATCAAGCTGCGCAAATCCTGATGGCCTTAAGCGTACCTACCTGTTCCCAGTGGAGCTACTCACGTCCTGCGTTGTGCAGGTTTGTACTGAGACATTTAGTTGAATAAAGACATCAGAAACCTAAATAATGCCTGTCTGCAATTGTGTCCTATGTGAGCATTGCAGCTCAGCAGGAATGCTGGTATTTGCATGCACCAGTGCCCTGTGGATATTAGACATCGTTGTGTACCTGCAGAGCCCTGTGCTTCATGTACCCATTCGCTGGAACCGTGCTCTCGTGTGGCCATCAGCACAGGTCCTAGGCTGGGGGAGGCTGAGACAATTCCTTCTCTTCAGTTGATGGAAGGAAGCAAATAAGTTCCCTAGAGCCAGAGCTGCGTGAGGTTGCCCCTTGTGTTGGAAACTTGTTTTTATCTGTGCTGAGTTTGGGAAGTGATTGCATGCTCAGAGATTGAGGTGGATTTCATTGCCAGCCTGTTTATGTTTGTGTACAACATGGAACAGTTTAATGTTTGCTTTTTTGTGAGGTTCAAATGTCTGCTTTTAATCAGATTGCCTGCAAGCATTTGGATTTGCTCTTGCATATGGTAACCAAGTTCCATATGAGAACTTGTGCCTTCTAGGGGTCCCATTCCTCCAAGGCAGGCACACTGCAAGCTGCTTTTCTCTTTTCTCCCAGTTTGGGCCTGGGGTTTTATTCCACACTACCCACTATGTATGTACTTTATACAGTCTCGGTACAAATAAACGTACACATATGGAGTGAAGCTCCTGGCAGGGTGGTGCAGGCATGGAAGAGAGGCTGTTGTTCTGGGGATAAATATGTCCTGTGGATGTGGCACAGAGCAGCCTGCAGCTGCTCGCCGGAGGCTCTTGACTTTCACATGTGATCATTTTAGCTCATGAGTTCTGCTCTCTTCTCTCCTCCATTCTTTATGTGCTATTATTGTGCTCATTTAGCTTGTTGAGACCTTACAGCAAAGTCTACTTCCATACAGATGTAAAGTATGTTATATGAATTTAGGCTATGTTTTACCTGACACAGTGCAGCAGTCACTGACTGACTCCGTATCTATCTGGATTGTTAGCAGTGTCTTCAAGGCCACCCTGCCTCCTAGGCTGGCACTTCTAGAGCATTTGGATCTGCACTTTACCTTGGACTTGTCCTCAGTGCACAGATGCCATAGCACTGCCTGTGCAATGGAAACACTGCTCCTGGCTTCACCCCTTTCTTTCTCTGGGGCATTTTCACCATCTTGGAGATCAGTGCAAGCTGCTGATTGATACATTGCTAGGAACTGCTAAATAAAGCTTTCATTCTTGAAAAAGGACATCATTTACTTCTCTTTTTCTGCTTTGATTTCTTGTTTGGTACAACTTATCTTACCTCCTCTTGGCATTGAGCTGTTGCTGAGTTTTGCATACAGATGTGTATTCATATTGCATTGCTGCTCTGTGCTGCATCCCTGCAAGGGAATCTGCTTGCTACTGGGATGGCAGATGCACAGAGCATTCAGGTAAGGAAGATTCATCCTCCTACTGTAGGAGTTCCTCAAAATGGCAAAAAATCAAGGCAATAAATCAAGTGCATACATATTAGCATCAAAGCCTAAACTGCAGGGCAGGAGGAAAGGCCACATATTGTTAAATCTCCCATTATTTATTGCTTTATCAGGCAGAGGTATTATTACACTGTAAAGGATATATATGTTTCCCGTCACAAGGAGGTAGGAACTGCACAGCAGCAGCAAATTAGGATATAATTCGGTGAGATATTCCATCCCACTGGAATGTGGGAAAGATGCCTAGAGATGGGAATTTGTGCTCCTGGTTATTTTTTTTTTTCTTCTCCTCTCTGTCTTTTTAGTTACCTAGAAGAGAACAAAAGCTTTACAGCATTACAGTGTTTGAGGAAATGGGGATCAGCTTTTAGTCATAAATAGGGAGTGTTTGGGAAAATAGAAAATGGCTGTGAGACATTCCTGGAGAGGTTCAGTGTTACAGAGCTGTGTGCAGTGAGGGTTATGTTTCCATTTGTATTTTAATCTGGACTCTGATGTCTCTGTTCAGTGGTTAAGTCGAGAAACATGACAGACTTCTGTAGGTTGAGCTGGTTCTGAAAGATGAGAAGGGGAAAGAAGGAAATGGTCTGCAATTCCCATTTGGCATCAAGAAGGTTTATTTTTTTCTTGCGTTGAAATTAAAATTGTCTTTTTTTTTTCCTTTTTGTCTTTCATCCTTTCTTAAAACAGAAATTAAACTATATTCGGAAAGGCCTGCTTCAAAACCCAGCAGCAAGGCTAAGGGCCTCAATATCACCTGTGTTGTCTGAGGGGGAATAGCCGAAGGAAAATGTTCCCATCCTGTTCTCAAGACTGAAAAGCAAAGATGTGCTGGAGACCAATGACAATAATTGTAAGTACAGCATAAACATATGAACGTTACCCAAATTCCAGGGTGGTGAGCCCTCCACCCATCCACCCGCCCTCCCTCAGCCCAACGTTAGGCCAGGTGGCTGAACACAGTAGTGCAGTCCCGTGGAGACATTGCTCCTGGCCATGGGGAAAGCAGATGCATTTGCTTCATGTTAATAACTCACAGGAAGAAAGCTTTCTATATTATTTCCCCCCTCAAAATACAGCTTGGAGAAAGCCACAGCTTTTTGTGGCTTCACATAATGCATGTGGATGTCAGGTCTGGTTGCTGAAGAGCGTGCAGTTAAGTAGGACTTGAGGAAACCAAGCCACGGAAGTTGTTGGGGTTTTGGGGGGCTTTTGTTTTGAACAACAAGCCTTTAAATGTTGGTCAACTTCTTATAAAGCGGCACCAAGTCATTTCCTGCTCCCGTGAATGGGAAAGCCCCAGGATTCACTGAGGAATGAAAATGGTTGATATTTCTTTATATTCTCTTTCATCCTTTTTATTCAGAAGTGAAAGAATTAAAATAAGTTTTTGTAGTACGAAGAGCACGGATTCTACAGATGCACTGTCCTACAAAGGTTCTGCAGTGTGCAGGGTTAGGCCTGGAAGCAGCAGCTCTCTCATGAGAGCATCCACAATCAGCTCATGAAAAAGAATGATCTTTTCCCCTGCACTGTGCAGCCCCCTAATCTAATTTTGCTCTGCTGGCCTTAGGGGCTGTTTGGCGCCCCTGGGACCATGCAAGGGTTCTGTGGAAGAGGCAGATTTATGCTGTATAGAGGAGTCTCAGCATGTGAGCAGGGGAGGCTGAGCCATTGGACAGAGCAGGGCTACAAGGAAGCATCTTTTCTGGATTTCTTATATTCTCCCACCCAGCAGGAACCCGACCCTGAAGCTCCTGGGGAAAAGTAATATTAAAAGATGTCATTTCCCTTTTGGGAACTTAGTTTTGACTCTGCCCATAAATGGCAAGATTCTGAATCAAAGCTCTTCCCACAGGGAACCAAAGAGTTCAGGGTGTTTGTCTATGTCCTTGTCACTAATAAAACCAAATTGACTTTTAAAAATAGCTCTTGTGCCTTATGAAAACAGGCAGGGAGTGATGCAGCAGGCGGGGAATGAGCCTGAGATATGAATGAGCCCAGAAATATTTCTTCATCTGCCACAAGGTTCAGGGAAGATCCCTGACCTCTGCCTCACTGGGTGAAACCTATAGATATAGCACTCCTACCTGCAACGTGTGCTGGGATGGCCACTCTGAAACTGCACAGGAAAGAAGAACCTGCAGTAAAAGTGCGTCACAGTCAGCTGAAAACTCCAGTAACCTGAAGAGTCACTCCCTGTAGTACGGGAGGCTCTTACAAGCAACATATGTAAATGTCCATCAGCAGGGAAGCAGGCTGAGGGAGCTCTTTGGGATGCAGTGAATCCTGTGCTATGGGATCCACCACCTGTGTTTGCTCATGGGGAAGTTATCTCCTCCCAGGTTACTCCATGGCACGCAGCCAGGCACCCGTTTTTGTCAGCAGGAGAGTTTGCCTCCCCTGTCATGAAGTGATTGCTGCCCAAAGCCAGCTGGGAACCACTGTTGTGTGCAGGTATCTGTAGGACCAAAACTGCAAACTGGGCCTGGGGCAGCATGACTGCAACCTCCTGAGGAGCTGATCAACTGTAAGTAGGAGCTCCCTGGCAAACCTGTCGTTTCTTTCTCATTAGATGTGGGTTTTGTGCCAGGATCTCCTGTCAGGCCCAACACCATATGCATTTCTCAGGGGGGCACTGGGCAGCCTCCTGCCAGCACGGAGAGCCCACAGCAGGAGCTGCAGGAGGCGGCTGCTCTGTCTTTGCTGGCTGTGCCCTGCTGACAATAGCCATCGTGGGGAAAAAAGCAAAATCACTCAATGTGCTTGGGCAACCTAATTGGGTACTCAATATCTGTGTGACGGGCTGCAGCCACAAGATGCAGATGGGCTGTTGTAGCACTTGGCCTAAATGAAAAAAGATGAACTGCCTAAAAGCTGTGCATCAACTGCACACTGGTGTTGATGGGCATCTGTCAGGTATGCACCCAATGTCCTCAAATTAAGGGTCTTGAGAAAGCTCTTGGAGTGCTAGTAGAGGAGTGGGGCTCAAAGTGCAAGAACAGAAAAAGGAAAGGACATACCTGCTGGAACGACCTTGCATAAACCCACTCATCATGCTTCAGCACCTTCATAAGGAATGTCAGTTCAGTGATGTTTCATTTATACGCAGCTAAATGAGTGCTGGTGCCGGGGGGGCAGCAGAGAGGATGCCATGCTGCAGCACATGGTGTGTGTGAAGGAACTGCAACACCAGCTTGCATTTCCAAAATGTTTTCTAAACTGCACCTTTTTTGGAATACAAATGCAATGCTGAAAATCACTGGAAATACCATGGCAGCTGCAAACTCTGAACAGTGACCCACACTTGGCTTGGGTCCTCAGAACCTTTTGCTTTTATCCTCTAATCCATATCTTCAAATTCAGACCAAACTTAGAGCTGCCGATGACAAAATATGAGGCACCCATGTAACTGGTTGGACACACATTTCAGTGCTGAGTGCTCCGTGCTGACTCTTTGAAGTGTTGTCCCCATGTAAGATAGTGTGAGATAATGCCAGCAAGTGACACCACTGAGGCTCTGCACACACGCAGATGCTGTGAGCCAGGTGCTGGCAATTCAGCCATGCTTGTAATTCTCTAGGGCGGGTCATTAATATTAGATGAAAGCGCAGATAATGAAAAGGGCTTTTGTAGTTAAGAGCATTTTGTTTCATCTGAAGAAACAGTGAGATTCAACGTTACGCTTCATTCTTACTGGCATTCATTCGGTCCTCCTTCAGGCTGTGATGTTATGCAAAGCAAGGGAGCAATCAAATAATCTGACTTAGCTGAGTACATTCTCAGATATAAAACAAGATTTCCTCCACCCCCAATCTGATCTCTATTGCCTTATACTGGGCATGAAGCCTGCCTTAGTCCAGCACAGGACACATGGACCACAGCAAACGGGAATAATGCATAGAGTCTGCTAATTCCTGATTTCTGGAGTAAAAAATTTAAACACAGAAGCACAAGGACTTCAGCACAGCAAACTGATGCAAGGCCATCGTGTCCTGGTGCTGTGCTGCCTGGTGCACAGCTCCCTGCTGCGTTTGGCCATGACAGCACTGTCACTCATCTTTGCTTTGTCAGAATAGTTAAGAAGTCACATATAGTAAGCGAAACTCACAAGCTCCTGTTGAAACCTGTCTGAAAAAGGAATCCTTCTCATCAGTGTATTGACTGCTGTTTCCCTAACATGTATGTGTCAAAATCTGCTTCCAGCTTCCAGGCCTGGCTTTGGTGAAATCCAAATGAGAACAGGTTATCTGAGGTTCTCCTTCTACCCCATGTCACCAAACACCTCTGCAGGGATGAGGTAAGGGAGGCTGCATCCCAGCATGGCCAAAAGTGTTACAGAGAAAATGTTGTGCTGCTCAGCATTATTCAGCTGAGGTTTGTGTGTACCTGCACAGAGCCCTCAGGCCATCGCAGCACTTGAAGGCTGCAGACTTAGGAATTAATAGAGGAAAAGAAAGACAACTGAAATCCCCCATGCTGTGCTCCTGGCATGCATCTGAGCTGTTTCCATTTGCCCCCTTATTTTTAAGTGCTCAGGATGGGAAAAGGCATGGACTTGGTGCCATCATTTCCTACACGATTTGTGCATTCTTTACAGATGCTTCTTGTCAAGTTAAGTGGCTGATGCTGAGGTGTGTACACAGGGGTGTGTAGTGCATGAGACAGGGAGAGATTTATTAAAATTGCATTGCAGTTGTATTTTAGAGTGTGTTCTGACTGGAGTTTTATGTGATTTATATCAAATATAAAAAAAAAAAACCAAAACAATGGTGCTTTTGCTTGGTATAGCTGCTGGATAATGCTCAGGTTTCTGCAGAGCCACCCGACTGACCATGTAGATCTTATTGTCAGAGGACACAAACTGCTGCACTGTTAGTTTCCTCTTTTCATTGGTTTTGGGTTATTTCACTATGTTAGAAGTAATCAGCATTTTTTGTTGTTGATTCCGTCAATTCGGCAGACGTCCTAAGTGAATTCTGGTGAGAAGAGGAAGCAGAGGACAGGCCGCAATCAAGCCAAAGCGTCAGGCAACAGAAATCAGCCTGCTTGTGTGAGAGCTGCACCATCAAGGTTAGTGATACTTTTCTCACACTAGAGCAGAGAAAAGGAAATCTTAAGTCTTACAAGCATTCCTCTAATGTGCAACACCATTGCTGGCCAGTTCGTGTTTTGTTCTGCTGCACAGGGAAGCTCTGCAGCTGCCCCCCTTTTAAGGGTAGATACAGTGCTGAGTGTCCCCATTCTTTTTCCATGCCCAGGCATCAGAAGCACAGCAGAACAAGGCAGGCAGCCCTTGCAGTGCATGCAGTTTAAGGATTTCCCTCTTAAAAAAACCTCTTCTGAGAGCTCAGGAGTGATGACCTGCTGTCCGAACCAGGTGAAGGCAGCCTCAACATCTTCTTGCAGTCAGCAGAAGGAAGGGAGGGATGGGGGAATTCTGGGCTCCACTGTGGCAGTGCTGTTGTCACACACCCTGAGCCCTGCCTGGTGTGTGGCATGTAGCTGTGCTGGCCAGAGAGTGGGACTGAAAACCAGTGGCACTGCTGCCATGTTAGGCTCCTGTTGGTACTCCTTGGTTTGTTTTGTAGCATCTTCAAGGCTGGATGAAGGCAGGGAGAAAAAAGTTTTTTGTTTTGAGGTTGGGTCAGGAGGCAGCTGGCATAAATCAGTGTCATTTCATTCACTGGATACATGGCATCAAGTTCACTTTGGTACTGATCAACATACATGCAGAGGCATGCTAAATTAAAAAGTATAGCATTTTGCTACTATTTAATGAGTTCTCATATTGAAACCAGTGTAATTTATGTTAATTAGCTAAACGAATGAGCAAACTAATTCAGCACTTATCCACATAAAAAGAAGGGACTGTGGTGGAGCTCAGAAAGCAGCCCAGCGCTGGCACCCCAGGAGAGAGATGGGAGGTGACCGTGTGGTGATGGGAGTGCTGCCCAGTGGGTCCCTCTGGGGGCTGCTGCCTGCCCCACCCCTGGCCATGGCCTGCTGCTGATGAGCTCATGTCCTGTTTTATTTTATCTGGAGGCAAAAGCTATTTCTTTTTCTGAAGGGCCAGGGCTGGAGCCAGCTGCTAATAAAAGCAAACCATCAGTGAGCAGCGATGGGAAACCAAGGGATGGTGTGGCAGGCAGGGGCTTGCTTTCAATGCACAAAAAAAGTCCTTTTAAATTGAAATTGAGCAAGGAATTAAAAGCACATATAGGCGGACTTTATTAGAAAGTGAAACATTTGATCTTGGCTATTAATCTGTTGTAAGAAGACTTTCATTTCCTGGCCATATGTACCCAGCGATAGACGTTCATAAATGAGATGGCATTAAAATCTACTTTATGTTTCTAGTGAAATCTTTTATGCATGGTCTATTTATGAAAAAAAAAAAAAAGAAAAAAGAAAAACAGAACAATTAGAGAAGCAGACTAAGAGAACTAAATTATTATAGCTCATTAATACGTGAGAGAAATACTGCTCCAGCCTGAAGGCTCTGCACTGTGCAGCACTGAAGTGCCTGAGGCTGTGGCTGCTCCGTGGCCGTGCTGCCAGCTGCTTATGGCAGTGGGAATGTGAGCAGCCCCTGCAAGTGGCTCATGTAGGGCTGGGCTGCGAAGATGCAACTCTTCACAATACCCAAACCTGCAGGAACTGACCACAACCTAGCAACACATCTTGTGTCACAAGATTTGGCACTAACAGCTTTTCAACACCTTTGATGTTCTTGGTGTCCAAACCACCATTCTCTTCTCAGGTTAAAGGAATATATTTTTCTTCTATTTTTATTTATTTATAATGCAGGGCTGTGTCTTATTCCTGCTGCATTTCAAGAAGCTTTTCATTTCCACTTGGGCAGACTGACAAAAGACCCAGTAGGGACCACAGCAGCACCATTTTGGATCATATAAATGTATTAACAAATATGGGGCTGAGACTCCTCTAGCACGGCATTAGGAACCTGGCATGAAACCATGTAGCTTGAGGGCTGCCCAAAACAAGCCAGGGCTGCCAGGGGAAGGCAGAAATCGTGCCGAAGTGCCGATGTGGCACCACAACAGCCAAGGTCATCCTTCGTGAGAGAATAAAAAATTACCCGTCTGTTTTTGAAGTATAGTAGGACCTCATGAATCTCTCACTTTTTCATCTTTTATGGACTCTTTTTTTAGAAATCAGGCTACAGATTCTTTAGTAATAGATGAAAAAAAGTCAAATATCCAGGCACTGCAAAGAAATCCCTATTGTCAAGGCAATGAAATACCTCATTGCTGTTACACTTGGCTTCTTGTGCTTTCTTACTGGCACCTGATCTGCAAAACAATTTGAGTTGATATTGTGAATTAAGTAACTATGCTCTACTCTGTATAACTACTAATGATGATCAGATTAGGCATGGCAGATGAAAAAAAAAACAACAAACTGATGACACTGTGATCTCAATGAGACAAAGCTATGTGGTCCATTGAGCTCATGGCTGTGAGCATGGTGCTGCAGACAGATCTTTCTGTGATGCATTGGGCTTTTTGTGCATAACCACAAGGAACGTTCAGCTCCTAGCTGAAGTTTGCTAAGAAAGCAAAATGCATGAGCACCTGGTAGCTTGATTTTTTTCTTTTTTCAAGTTAAGGCCGATGACACATTTGGAGACAATTAAAACAAAGGCTGAGCTTTTCAGCTAGGAAAAAAGAAAAAGCAGCATGCTTATGCTATATATAAATAAAACCAGGCTTCAGTACTGAGAGCAGACTGTTTTGTTATTTTTTTCCCTTCTACAGAAAATCTTTTCTTTGTGCCAGGACTAAAATATTAGCACTGTGTTCCCTCCTCTGTTTCAGCAGACCTCATTGCATCTAAGTGCCAAAAAAGTAGAATTCCAGAACAGCAGGTGAAAAGAAAACAGAAGATCAAAAGCAGCTCTGGCTGCCAAGAGAACCTGCAGCACTGCTTGGGGGTGCATGAAAAAGTCACGCAGACTCCTGATGGTGTCAGAGACTTTTGGAAGGTCATCAAGGATGGTTTTTTTTTCTCAGGCATCCCACATCAAAAAGCAGCACTAGGAGAGAAACTTGCAATGCATCATGAGAAGCCTGTTTTAGATACACCCCGCTTGTAGGAGAATTTAGGTGTTTTCCTCAGCATCACCTATAGAAGCAGCTTTAAGAAACCCATCCTTAGACTGGAGCCTGTTAAGTGCTTATAGCAGGTGGCCATTAAACAATGGCTAATTTGTGTCCTTAACACATGTGGGGGAACTGTGGAAGAAGTGTGTCTGTCTGAGCTCATCCTCTCAGCAGAGACAAAGGACACACTTTGCTGTTCTTGTAACCAGGAGGCCTTCACATTAATTCCTGTTGCTACACACAGCTTCCATTTGTATGTCTGTGACCTTCCTTTAGTGATGATGAATGCTTTGGGGATGGATGGGAGAAACTTCAGTGCACTTCATCAGTAGCTGTCTTTAGAAGAGAGAGCTGCAATGGGCTTTTTTCTCAATCCCTTTCTACCCCCTCTGCCTACCATGTCTTGGTTTGTTTGGAAGAGGCCCAACAGCAGCCATCTGTGATTGGCTCAAAAAGTTTGGACCCGTCTCTGGGCCTTGTGGGCAGTATTGGGAGCACTGGGGTGTCCATCTCCTGCCTCCCAGTGCTCTTACTGGTGGTGACATTAGCCCTGACAAGTGCAAGCCATCATCTTGACCAACAGTGAAAGTCTCCTCTATAATTACTATGGCTGCAAAATGGAGCCTAAGAAAAGACTCGCTGGGCAGCAATTAGCATCAGCATGGGGATCACAAATCAGTAATGCTTCATTCCATTTTTACTCCTAAATATCAGCAAATAATGAAGTTCTCTTTAAATAAAGACTTCCCTTAGTGAGCTTAAATAACACGTGTACATCCACTCCTAAAGACAGCTTTTTTTTTTTTTATTTTAAAATTCTGCATCTGAAAACACAGTATGACAGAAAGCATTTATATACAACTGCAGTGTTTTTGGTATAATACAGTATTTAGTACATCCATTTCATTTTCTGCAAAAAAATTTGCTTTATTGGACAAAAAAACCAAACTCCCATTGACAAAGAATACAGCTAAGGCACGTTGTTTTCTGCTAAATGAAAGACAAGAGGGTGCAAAAACGGGTAGTGCAATAATTGCTGAAAATCACATTCTACTACAAGAAAAGCATTCTGACTTTGAACTTTGATTACCAGTCAATTTTAAGACATTTCAATATCTCATAAAATACTCCTTTAAATAAATAGCAAAATATCTACATCTTTCAGTGTGTTCCATTTGAATTTCCAATTTTTTTAAACTTTGCTGTATATACATGTTTTTTTCTCCCTATTCAATAGCTTACAAAATATTTCTGTACAGCTTTATGCATATTATGATCTGTAACAAAATAGTTATTTCTTAAAACTATATTACCACCAGTCTTTGAAAATGACAGAATAGGAATAACTTATTATGGACTATGTTAGGAAATACAAAAATCCAATCAACCCCAAACAAAACCAAAATAACAAAGTCAGAAAAATCATTTAATTAACTCAAATCAGTTATTTTTGTTTCACAATTCTTGCTTGCTGTGTAAACCTTCTCATTTGCCTTTGGGTTGTATATGCATCAGAATACTGAAACAGGGCAGGATATGAGATTCCTACAAGCACTGCAGCCTGCCGGGAATATTGGTGCTACTGAAACCTGACAGTATTCCTTGGAGAACAGCAGCAATGAAACCCAACATACCCAAGCCTTAGCAGAAGTTCACGGCCTCTGCAGACTTGGACAACCTTTGGATAAAGCTCCAGAGGCCAGATTTTTTGGAAGTGCATTTGTAACTTTGATGGTACAGCCAGACTCCTCTGTCTTCTATGCCTACTGTTAGATTCCCAACCACCACTCAAAATCTGGCCCCTCGTGGTGACGTTCTTCACATTTTAAGACCGTACCGTTAGGAAGCATCTTCTCTCAGTTACAAGTACAAATCTGACACGAATGCTGCTGCGCTCTGCCAAAATGAGTGACACTGCTCCAGTATTTGTCTCATGCATCTGAGAGCAGTCTGTCCTGTTACAGTCTGAAGATAAATAAAAAGCTATTATGTCTGCACTTTGTAGGTAATTAAATCAACCTTCCTTATCTACCGTAAGTTGCAAGAGACAGAGCTCATAATTTCCTAGGGTTTGTATGAACTTCTGAGCCTTCCTTTGCCCAAAGGGAAGGTCATTTTCTTCCCTTAAAGACTGCATTTGTAAGCAATTTCTATTGTATTTGTGAAGTGTAAGCTGACAGCAACACAACTGAGCTGTAATAGAAACCTCAAGGTGCCTTTTATTCCTTCCACAACAAACAGAAAAAGTGAGCAAGACACAGACAACACCTAACTTTCTAACACAGTTTAAGGCCACATTTAGAAAGGATGAAAGTAAGGCTTTCTTTGAGGGGCTGCACACACTGAACGCCACAATGGGAACAGACACTGAGCAATTCAAAGCCAATAGGCTTCACCCAGAGAAAATCTGAACCACCACCCGAATTCTGGCCAACATGTCTGTGCTTTCTTTTGGATCTAAGTAGGAAAATAAATGCCACAGTCATCCTGCAGAATATTCCCAGCAAACTGAAGGCGCTCCCCTAGCAAGAGATTACTATCTTCTCGATGAGGGTGTTAATTACAACAGAACCAAAGACAAGCAAAGTCATTACAATATACAAATGCAGCGCAATGAACCGCGCCTAGAATTGTCACTCTGTTATCAGAGGCACCTGTACAGTATCTTGCTGTTTATTTGGCAAGGTTACAAGTAATACTTCTAGGTTTTAACAAAGTAGAAAGAGAATTTGCATAGATTGTACATTCAGTTCAAGGAGACTTCTGGTACCTTTTTTTGTTGTTATCAGGTAAACATGTTTGCAGACACAGTGAGGTAGCAGCTGTGATAGCACCATGAGCAAAAGAAGGTAACCAAGGCAGAAGCAAAGAGCAGAGTGATCTATGAGCTACTGGTAGTATAAAGGAGCAAAATCTGCTGCCTCACATTGTGAGGGTTAATTGCTCGACTGCAGGAAACCTAATGCTGTTGTGGTCCTGGGTGACATAGGCTGTAAGATCTCGTTGCCTCAATTTTCAGTGCTCTCAGCCTGATTCCTCTTTTCCTTACAGTGGTGGTGATGATGAAGGCCTTCAAAAGCCAGCCTGTCCCGTGCTGCACCTCTGCAGGGAGCTCTTGAACAGTCTACAGGAAGAACGGTATTTCCCAATACAGCCCTTCCCACACTTGCTAAGGCTCTGTCTGCCATGTTGTCTGCAGCATCCTGCCTGCCCTCTTCCACACTGGTTTTGCTTCTCTGTGCAGCAGCAGCCGCCACCCTGTGTGACTGGGCCTCCTGTCCCAGGAGCTGCTGCTGGGCCCCAAAGGGCAGCATCCCACCCCTCCAGCGCCAGCTGGCTCCTACTCTGCTCACGGATGTCGGCCAGTGCTTTCAATTGCCATTGAATATGGGTTTAATGCAGTGTCCTAAGAATCCTTAAGACTATCTTGGAGGCCTTGAATAGATGCAATGAAAGCACATGGATATCATTATCTTCTCACTGCCAGACTGAAGCTAAGGACAGTGGGACACAGCGCTAACTGCTTTCTACCAACTCAGTCTTTGCTGATGAAATAACCAAACTCACTATTACATACCTTAAATAACCATGCCCCAAGAATTGGGAAAAGGTACTTGCTGTCATTTTTTCAGATTCCTTCACATGTATTAGTAGTGAGCTGACTGAAGGCTGCTCTAAAAAGCAAACTTTTCTGATTTACAACTAGGGGTTTTGATGATGCCTAAGGGATTTGGCTCACACGAGTACAAAACTTCCTGCCCAACAGAAAGCAATAGAGTTGGCCAAGGTTCCATCTGGCCAAGTCCTGAAGCCCTGGGAGCTGGGAAAATGAGGAGGGTGTGATAGCCAGCAGCAAGCTGGCAGCTCTCTGACAGCTGTGATGAAAGAAGAGAACTGCGGAAATCAACAAAAGTTGGTCCTCATTGTCTGACCACAATTAAAATCTGGATTTTGTTTTATTTTTATCTGGGAAGTCAAAACTAAGATCTCATGGTATCAGCATTTCTCAGGCTTGCTGTGCAGAAAAGAAGGTGCTCAGTTTATTCAAAGTGTTGTTGCTGCACAACCGTGTCAAACTTTTGCAGTTTCAGCACCTTTGTCTTCTGCCTCTCCCTTCAGTCAGGTTTAGAATATTCCAGCTCTGACTCACTACTCTGGTCATTACAATATGAGACTGAGACTTCGTTAATATTGTGATTAGTGCTGTAGGAGATGGACAGAAGGTGAATAAACATTAGTTGGTCCTTCTGTTGGTCTTGCAGGATCATTGTTAAGTTGTTAAACAACTACACATGCATTGTGCATTAAAGCTGATACCTAGGAAAGCCACTCTGTAACACAGATGCATACACCTCCATGTCTAGGCTCAGTGGTAATGAAGACTGAGCAAGAGACAGACAGATAGACTTCCTTGTATAATACTTGCCATCATGGAGGGGTTGTTAAAATTCCCTGCTTGCTGAGAGCACAAAAAATGAAGGCATAATTTCAACTCTAAGAAGCCTTTGAATATCAGAAAATGGAAATATAAATACAATCGCTTAATGTCCAAACGTTATCAAAGAAAGAATTGGACACCTCTAAAAATAAACTGTCATGTGAGCTGTTTCTATTTGCCTCAAGGTTTAACATTACCATATAAACAGGTTTGCATATCACTAAGACCGACTTTGGATGTAATTCATTAAATCACGTATGTAGAAGTTCTGCGTTTGGCCACGTTTCCTTTCTGTGTAATTCAGATTGATCACAGAAATGTTCCACGGCTACTGTGCAGAGCAGGCACAGCATTTAAATGAGCAAAGCATTACACACAGAGGGCAAATGCACGCATATGGAAACCCATTCCTTTGCCACAGAAGGGATTCTGATCAAAGCTGGCTTTCAGCTGGAGTCCCATTCAGCAAGGAATGGCCAGCATGATTGGAAAATGACACCAGCACACTCAGATGGCGATGCACAACTTGGTTGTTTTATACGAACTGTGGGTTCCTGCTCTGAATTCTCCTTTTCACCAAATGTAAGATCTGTGAAGTTATTCTCTTCTAACAATATACGATATTCACCCCAGGCTACAAGTGCCTGCCATTTCAGGACCAGAAAAGCTATTCAGCAGCACCACCACAGCCACTTGGTTGGAGCAAGCTCTGATTCCTGATGGAACAAGTCTTGCATCCACAGGGCTTGCTGCACCATTACAGCACTTCCCAGCTTAGACTTATCTCTACAGGACCTCTGTCTGAGCCTACATACTGACAGCTACAGCAGATGCTGTTGTGTAGGTCCAAAGCTCAACACTCACACCAGATGACGTTCCAAACACAGCAGCTCAGCCACTGAGGATTTCAAACACATACAGTATTTACTGATAGCATACTGTCTCACCCTTTTTATTTATGTGGACTTGACTCTGGAGCCCTTACTCAGGATCAGCACCCTGTGAAAGCTTTGCCTGAGGAAGGACTGCAGGACCTCTTGTTTCAAGCTGATGCTGTAACAGCAGCACTGGGAGTGCCAGCTTGCTACTCAACTTCTTTGAGCTTTTTGTCTTTCAGAAAACAAACTAATATTAAAAAAAAAACTAGTATACAATGTAAGTAGATACTTCAGCAACCACTTAAGTTCTTCTCCCTTTCTGAACTACAGCAAACTAATCTGTGCCTTACATTTAGAATGACTGGCAGATTTTCTTCTAGCCACAGAAGCCTGGGTTGTTGTCACCTTCTGTTTCATCTAGTTAACAACGAGAGTTTCCTAACAAAGTAATTAAAAACACTCCTGTTTAAGAATAAAAAAGTATCAAATTTAAAAATCAAGTTATCTGCATGTGTGTGTGGATGCACCCTTACACACATGCCAATGTGCAAGACAGACTGAGCAGCCTGTGAGTACCCCAGCAGCTGTACTGAGAACAATCACTGATGGGGTTGTTAATGGTGTGCCCTAACTAGCTCTCCATTTATCCACAGGGCTCTGACTGTGCAGCTGCCATTGCCATGTGACTGAAGCCCTGGATGGATTCCTCAGTGAGGACTGGAGGCCCCCAGAGAATCTGAACTTCACGATGGAATGTTAGATTGAAAACAAGCACTGCTAACAAAAAAAAAAAAATCAAAAACATACTGAGTAAGTAATAATACCGCATTGCTATCATATAAACCTGTTGGCAAACCTGGTTTTAAACACATTTGCCTCTAGAGCCAGTTGAAAAGCAGGAACATTATTTTGACTGAAATATTTCAACCAGCTCTCATTGCTACAAGCTTTCCTAAACCTAGAGCTCTCATGAGTGTCAGAATGAGGAAAAAGAAAGAAAGGGAGATGTGAGGGGAGGAAGGCCTTTTCTTAATAAAGGCAGCTTCAGTTAGTAAGATAACATAATCTTCAAGCTGCAAAAGCAGCACCTACTAATTAGTCATTGACTAAAACATAAATAATAAATACCTAAATTGTTCCTTCTATGCATCCATTTTCATGCCAGATAAACACTTCAATGCTCTGCCTTCATGCCAGCACAGCTGACACTGCAATTTCAAGTCCAAAGCAAACTGCAAGTAGCTTTAAACCAATGCTACGGAGAGAGACAGAACGAGCTGCTGGAATCTCTGTGTCACGGACATCTTGCAAGCGCTGTTTAAAAGGGAATTCAACCTCTCTGTGAGATGCGATTATGGAATGATTTAAGGGTCTATTTCCCTCCTGGTGTGGAAGCTTAACTCTCATCAGCAGGAATGAGAGCTAGACATACACACACAAGGGTAAACAGATACCTTGCTGTTTAAATCAACAAGATTTTGTTCCTAATTAACCCAATAGCACTTAATAGCTTTCTTGGGTCAAGAGATTACCACAGCAACAACAACAAAGTGCATGTTTTATGTAAATGCAAAATGCATCTGTTGGAGATGAATCTACATAAAACTTATACGAAGTTCTTGGAATATAAGAAAGTGAAGTCTCTTGCTGCTGTAGAAAATGCAGCTAAAAGTGATGCAACAGATGCCTATTTCAAACAGGAAGCAGCCTGCTAGAAACTCTAAGGACAGGGGAGGGTAGAGTTTTCTGAGAGAATAAAGCAAGAGCACTGAGAAGCAAGGTATTGCTCTCCTTCATGTCCAGCTTTGGTCAGGAACTCTGATATCCTGCTCAGCTTTCTAGGTGCCCTGACAAATTTTAATACCCTTCTTCACGCAGAGCTAGCAGATCTGAGACCAAAGGAGGATATTAGTGTTAAGACTTACTTATTTGTCACTACTTAAGGAAGAAATGTGTTGCAGATTTAGGTTCCAATCTTGCTCTCACTGATAAAAATAATCTCCGACTCTAAACTGCAAGGGCAAATGCCACTGTTTTACTGGTACTGAGCAACTCCACTGCTTGAGAAAATACAGCAAAAGTAAGCAGTCACTGCCCAATCTACGCCCAGTGATACACACACTTCTGTGCAGGAAGTCTGCAAAATACGGAGTGCTGGTGAGCTTAGAAAGACCCTGCACATTCCAAAGGTCTGAATCCAGACTGCTTCTTGGTCTTTCAAAATAATATTTGAAGTAGCCAGATCCTGAACCTGACTACATGAGAAATGAAAAGCTGATACTGCCAAACACCAGTGCCACGTACAGTTTATCACAAAATTGGTCTGAAAACCTCTGAATGTAATCTGAAGGCCCTTGCTTTGGCTCACATTCCCTAACTAGGATGACACAGACAGCACAGCAGTTAGCTGTGTCCAGAATTACTTTATGTTACATACAAAAAATAATAATGAGGGTGTACCATAATTATTTCACGTTCTGTAAGGTAATCCGGCCATATGGGATACAGCCTGCAGTAACCAACCTCCCCAGGAAGCATAAGTAGAAGGGAATTTTGCTGTGATTTATTTATGGTAGCAAAATAATTAAAGCCTATGAAACAGCAGAGGTACAGACAAATTTATTTTTAAAAAACACCACTTTTAGCAGCTGTTCCCTCACTGCCCTCTCCATGGCTCACTGCTGCTGCTGCTTTGAGGCCCACACGGTGAGCCAAGCCACTCCAACGGAACTGATGGAGAGAGCAGTGCCAAAGGCCTTGTCAGATTATTTTTTAAGAAATAATTACATTGCAATATGTAACAAAAAAGTATAACGTTCCCTTAGGTGAAACCTAGCATGAGATTCATGTTGGAGCAAGGTTCGATTCCCTTTTAAGACCCTATGCCGAAGGAGGGCGTACCGGCTGCTACCTCAAGCGACCATCGGGTTTGACGGGGCCCAGCTCGGACTTGGGGTCGGGGCTCAGGGAGCTCCAGGCAGTCTGGGTGCAGGCCTGCATGACGGGGCAGGCGGTGGGGCCGGTGCTGCAGATGTCCACGGCCGACCAGACGCTGCTGACCAGTGAGTCCACCCAGGCGTCCAGCCGGGCGCCCACCAGCGCCGCGTTCCTCTTGGCCTGATCCACGCGAGCAGCGCTGACAGGAATGTTTAAGACTGGGTTCAAGCCCTGGAAGCTCTGCTCCATGTATGCGTTCTTTGGAGGCCCGCTGTGATATTTCATGGCTTCCTCTGGAAAAGGCAGAAACAAACCACAAAATTTGAGTGTCGAAGAAAACCTTTGGGGTTTAAGGGTTCAGCACAACTAAAAGGCAGGCCCAGCCTCGCAGCTCCTGCCCATAGCTGGAGCCTGGGCAACGTGCAGTTCCCTCCTGTGAGGAACTTATTCTGCATTCAGGAAAAGCCAATGTTGTCTCTCTCCCCAAGAGGAGGCCTGCAAATACACCCTGTTCAGCTGGTTACCCCGCCAACATCCACACAGACTGTGCTTTGAAACGAGGGAATGGCTGAAGGAGACCCGAGGTGAGAGTGTTAGAAACTGTGGTCAGACTTCAAGTGTTATCAATGACTTGTCTAGCAGAAAGAGCTCAGCCTGGTTTTCTTCTAAACAGATTGCCCTTCCCTTGTTATGGAAGTCACAACTCTTGTATGCAGTACCTGCCTCCAGAAGCCATGTGGTGACACTGCCGGCACTGGAAGGACAGCAACCCGGCCTTGGACTGACCAGGTAGGGCTGGTAGAGCTGCGACCCCAGTAGAATTGCTGGAAGCACTCCAGTCTCACTGGGAAAACGCTCTCTAAAGACAATCATATTTCAAGCACTTGCACTGAATAATGGATCAAACCCATTTCCCTTGCATTGTGGTTGCTTTTCTTAGAGTAACTCCTCTACCTCAGCCAAATGCAGTACATCGTTAGAAAAAATCACTGTCAGAGTGCGTAGCACCTTCAAAGACCTTCAGACCCTCAGCCCAGTCTAAGGCTTGCTGACTTCTGGAGGTAGCTGAGGTGCTGCTCATACGCCCAGAATGTGAGCCTCCACAAAAATTCACTCAGTGCCTCTAGGGAGTAAATTCTCAACTCTTTCTTTCTGTTCTCAGCTGACTTCTCTACCATCCTTGTTCCCGGCAGCACAGAGGATATGTTCAGCTCTGCCAACATACACAGTCTAAAACACAAAAAGGGCCCATTCAGGGCACTCCAGGCTAGGAAAGCCACTGGGTTCAGATATCATTTAGAGGCCAGGAATTACATATTCACGTCTACAATTCCTTCCACATATCCTTGCTGCTCACACTGAGCCCTTTCTCCCACACAGAGGACAGCATCTCGGGCACTGGCAATAAATCAGTATGTTGATTTAGAGGGAAAAGGGACACTTAATTGGAGCTCTGCTGTTACATTTGCAAAGTCTTTAATGTCAAATGCAGCGCAAGTCCATTACTTCAAATCCTCAATTAAATTAGTTCAGCAGATCCCCATCGCCATTATACATGCTTTGACTATTCCTATATTCTATACCTATCTACTGCCTGTTTTCCTTTAAATGAATAGACTAGAATAACTTCTAGTCAAAAGGAGTTTGTTCCATGCACTTATGTCAGAAGTGTGCTCTGCCAGAGCTCTACAGTTTAAGAAACAGAACGAGTACACATGATTAAATTTCCTCCTTTGGAAGCAATTAAATATGGAAGATTGTTTGTCAACATATTAATTAAATAGGAGTATTATAAGTAAAAATCCCCAAACAAATAAGATTTGGCATTGCTAGCAGGATCATCTGACTGAAACAGGCAGCTCAGAGAGCTTGCTGAATTAAAAGCTGCTGTGCATGTGTTTGCTGTGTGGAACAAGAGAGAAGTTTTTCCAGACAAACAACAGGATGAAACAGAACTCGCCCTGACTCAGATTTTTCTCAGACATTCCCACCTGCACACTGCTGTGTGATTCTACACCACTCAGTGAGTGCTGCACTCTGCTCCAGAACCAGCTGTGCTGCATGGATGTGCCGGCAGAGACAGTGCTCAAAGTGGATAAAGGAACTGAAGGGAATCCTTTGTTTTTAAAATAACCCAAACAAGTATTATCAGGCAGAGCTGGTTAACAGCAGTCAGTGCAGAGCTACGCATCAATAGAAAATTCTAAGGGTTGAACCCAGAACCCTCTCCTTAAGCCTCCACATCTTTGTTCAAGAGTTCACAAGAGAAAGTAATGACCTCTCCTCCCTGTTCGCTGCCCATGCTGCTCATTCACACTATGGGAGATGTTGGGTGCTATTCCTCTTCGCATTAGAGACAAAAAAAGAAGAGATAATAATGACTTTATAACCTACTGGGCTGGGAAAGCAAGGAGATGTGGATCCCAAGCCCTGAAACACTGCACAAAGGGAGGCTGGAGCTACTGTGCATCATTTTGAAGTGCTTACTTACACTTCAGTCCTTGCTCATGAAAAAAGCAATGAATGTAAGGCCTGCCTCCATGAGATGTGGTTTTGGACATTTAAGACTCCAGTCACAGCAACCAATTCAAAATTAACTGGACTGCAGACAGTAAGCCAGATATTTTTTTCCAGTGAAAACATCCATATGGTCCTTTGAGGTGGAAGACTTACCAGTGCAAAATATGTTCCACTGACTTTAAATTACAGTTTGAAAAAATAAGTTATTTTTTGTGCCCCGCTGCCGTTTGCACTTCACTCTGGGAGGGCATTTCCCTCCTCAACTGACTTTCCTTAGCATTACTTCTTTGGGCTGAGCACACAGCCTGCAGTCAGCTGCACAGGCTGAGATCTCAGCAGTTCTGTGTGGGTTTGTTCTTCATTTTGCAGAAAAAGCAAATGAGTTTAGACAGAGAGTGGGCTACGGAATGAAAGCAGCAGTTACCTTGGTACACATTAAGGCGCTAGACCTGTGGTTTTTTTTAAGGAACACAGAACGTACAGCTTTATTTCCTTACTTGAATTGCATTGAAGCCCTCTGGCAAAGAGGTAATTTTTTATCGACATTTGGTTTGTTTTCTCTTGCAGCAAACAAGACAGTGCTGCATTTGCTCATTGCAAAGCTAATCGACTCCTTGTCAACTGGATCTGAACTAAATTTCAAAGCAAATCCCTGTCTTCGGGGTTTTTCTTGGACTGACGATTCTAGGGCATGTCTACTCTCCTGCAGACACAGGCCTGCCTGCTGCCGTCACCACGTTTATCAAGAACGTATCATGTCATAGCTGGTTAATTTAAAGAGATCACAGCAGTTCTGACACAAGTTGCCACCCACTTTATAATCCATACAGACGCAATTAGAATTGATTGAGCCACTGCAAATAACCAACAGCAAAACAAAGGTTTCCCAGTACATACTTAATTAAGCTGATCCATAAATGTGGATTAGGTTAACAGGTTTCTGAGATGTATGTGTGCATTGTGGGGTGTCTGCTAATGCCTCCAAGCCTTTGAAAGAGGTGCCTGTAGCTGGAGGGCACTGGGACCATGGGGTGGTGTTTGAGGCTCCCTGTCCAGCTGTGGGGCAGCAGGAGCTCCATGCCAGGAGCATGCAAACGCATCAGGAACCAAACATGAAAGGTGCCTCTGCAGAAGGATGCTCTCCTTCCTTCCTTCTTTGCTTGAGGGAAGAAGTTTTCAAGTAATTTATTTATTTTCAATCTAGTCTAGTATGGGCTTGAGGTCTGGGGCTTCATCTTGATTTACTTTATTTAGGTTTTATAAAACTACATTAAACACATGGCAACTCATTAGTACCACTTCAGCTGGGACACCACCATCAAAGCTTTGTATGAATATAAACTCAAATTTGAAAATGAATTGGTTTGGCTTTTTCCCTGTATCTCTCAGTGCTTCAGGGAGATGTGTGCAGTCCCACCTGGGAGGAGCACTTGCACAGACTTTGTGCAGCAAAGAGAAAGAGAGATGATGGAGAAGCAGATCCAACCTCCACGGAATTTGCTGCCTAAAGCATACAATAAGAAACCCTCATCCTTGTGTATAGCCACATCTTCTAGCCATCTGTCTCCCTGTCTTGCATCCTCCACATTACATTTCCTTTCTGTCTTGGCCTGAGGCATCCCAATGGCCTGTGGCAGCTCTCCTGTGTCCTTACAGTGAGCAAGGAGAACTTGGCTCTAACACAGTCAGCCATACAGTGAGACACTCTGAGTCACCATTTAAAGAAAAAACAAAACAACAACAGAATCTGGCTGTGCAGGACACAGGGAGAAGGAGATACTGGTGGACCAAGTGAAGCTCAACCTGCTTTTTCCAAATGGGTTATTTGACAAATTCACATAATTCACTTTATGTCCTTCCTCCAAACATGCAAAGACCTGAAGAAATTCCTGGGCCAGAATGATCTGCTGAAGGCAGAACTGATCAGAGACAGAACTCAGAGAAAACAGACACAGATCTGAATGACTGGAGGGGAAAGAGGAGCAATAAAGAATAAATAGCATTAGATTCTAAACTTTCCACTGAAATAGCTTTGGGAGCCTCATTTTCTGTGGAAACATCCCCAACCTCCAAGTGTACTCAATCATTCCATGTGAGAACGGATCTCGGATCTTTTATGGGTCCAGTCCTTGTAAAGGGCAACAAATGCCTGTTTTTAAACAATTTACATTCTACCAGTTATGTGCATCTGGACATAATATGCCAGGAAAAAGCCTGTCCCTGATTTCTCCTTGTGGCTTTACTTGCATGCACGAACTCTAGGCCAAAGCTAATAAATAAATGAGAATAGAAAATGGATAACTAGCTGCATATGCTGTTTTTATAAACTGCTAAATGAAACATCTTTGCTGGAAGCTGGTCCCAGAATTAATTTTTTTAGTTCGAACTGCAATCACGAATTTTGAGAGAGATACAGGAATGAACATGTTCTGCTTCATTTAAGAGAGGAGCAAGTTGCTCCCTTCATGGTGTAGGGAAACAGAAATCAGCTTCACCTTGTGCTCTGTGCTGGTCAGTGGATATGCAGTGATTTAGGAAGTACAGTGACAGTTGTCACGTTCTTGCTCTCAAGATACAACAGCCTGCTGCCAGATTTGGGCAGATATTTTTTAGACAGTCAGACTGTGCACAAATATGGGCAGATCGTTATGTAGGTACCTATGTGGACTCCGGTTTCTACATCTGGAATGTGTGAGACAGAGTGGGCCTGATCCTGATGAAGCAAATCAGTGTGTATGTGAATGAAAAAGGCTTCTGGAGGAGCAAATTATCTGCAGTGGAAATCTTTCTGACAAGAGCTTTAGAGCTTTTCTTTTTTGCTCAGGGTGAGGGAAGGACAAAACTTGAATCCCTAATAAAACATACTTTTCTCTTCTGCTGACAACTCCTGGCTAAGGCTGATGTATGTTTTATTTTCAGTGGGACAAGACAATAATACTATTCCTTCATTTTAGAGGATTTTTGGCAGCTTTCACATTGTTTACAACAGTAACAGAAATTGTTCTTTTAGAACTTCTAATTCTTCTGTCGTATTCTCACAATGCCTTTATTTGGCACAGAGAAATATATTTAAGTAATAAAGTGGTGACAAACTGACAAAAGCTTGAAATCAAAGCTAAATGACAATTGCCAGCACAGAGCACAGTAACATCACTGAGACAGAAAGCCTTGAAAAAACCCAAACAAACAAATCTGCATTGTAAATATCATTCTAACTAGAGTGAAGTGTCTCTCTCTGCCCCTGTAATTAATTTTCTCCTTTACCTTTGTGCCTCAGCCACAGGGAGACTATGCATCCCAGCATCAGCAGCAAAGTGCTCCTGAGGCTTTTCCTAGATAATATTGTTCCCTGGCTTTGTATTTCATTCCTATGGTAGATTCTCATTACCATATGAATAGGGCTCTTTAACAAGAAATATGAGCCAGATCTTCTCTCAGTGAATCAATGGGACAACTTTTTCTTTCTTATTTGTGGCAAGATGCAGGGACTCCCTGATTCCAGTGGAACAATTTGAGATTCCGCCTTTGGACAGAGGGCTTTTGCCTTCCCACCACAAAGCATGGGCGCTGGGCTGAAGCCTCACACATGCTTGGCTTTGCTCAGCACTCTCACATAGCAAAACACAGCAAGGCTGCTGGCTACGTGCCACATTTGCAATCCAGTCTGTGCCTCAACTGTTAAATTAGCAAAGAACGTGGAATTCATTCACTTGCAGGAGATGAATCTCTAACAGCCACGTTCAGAAGCAGGGCTGCTACAAACTTAAAATTCTTTCTACACGCGGTGTTTTTCAGAATGTATCATTGCCTAGCAGCTAATAAGAGCAGCAGGTTGTCCGTGGTGCAGTTTTTCCTTAAGGAACGATGTCACCAAATGCTACAAGGAGAAATCAGCATGTTGGCTGTCCTGGTGAGAAATGTGTAGCATCAGGCTCCTGCTGAGCACGATAAGGGCGGCATTAGCGCTCAGCAGCTGTCTGGTGGTGCGTGTGTTACAGAAGCAGCACATAGTGCTGGAAGGTGGAGGCCCGACTCACTTTATGTGCTGCTTCATCAGGAAGAACAACTTCTGAAAAGTTAAAAGGACCATTCGTGTATCTCTCAATTTTAAGCTAGGGATATTAGATGGAAGCACTTTAAGGGCGCATTAAGAATAACAGTAAAGACATTGCTGACAACAAACTGGTGTTGATCACAGCGAACAAGAGAACAGGTGTGGCTGCAGACTGTACTCTCCCTCCCAGCTCATTGTACCTGGCACTGGATGAAGAGCTGAGCACCCAGTGCGTGGGCTGCTGCTGGCCCTACGGCGACTCAGTGTTGCTGTGGTGGGAAGGAAAATGGTTTCCCTGTGTGAAATCCGACTGGGTCTGATGCTGCACACACCAGGGCTGCTGCACCTACTGGTATTTCTGTAACACGTGTGTTTGGCATGTACTGAGCAGGCTTTGGCAGGGATCAGGCAGAAGCGAATGCCTGCACATGACAACCTGTCAGGTAGCTCTGGCCTAGAGTTATTTTCCTTGATTCAGTATTTCATATATTAATGTTTTATATCATTAAACACACAGTCTTTGCCAAGATAGCTGTTTAAACGCCTGTAACTCTTTATGAGCAAATGTGAACGCACAGCTTCAGAGAAGGGTCCATTTTTCTTTCTAAGTGATGGCTTCTATGACAGCTGTTATTTCTGAGTCTGAATTTCCCTGGATTTTGAACAGTGTGTATTTTAAAGATATAAATAGACTTTCGTTCAAAGTGGCTGTCTTGTACAGGCTGGATACAGACACTTCACTTGTCTTGGTGCAACAATTTCATCTGATTTACTATTTATAATATTCCTCTATTTTTGCTGTTTCCAGTGCTGCACTACTTCATTTTTAACAGTGGCATTTACAATGAATACAGACAAAATAACGGTATTATTCCAGTAACAAATATTAAAACTTACCTTGTTTGATAGGCTGCCGATTTGAGAAGGTGAGAGGCGTAACAAGGAATTTGGTTTCAGCTACCTGGACCCAGTGGTGCAGAATTTTTATTGTCCAGACACCAGGCCTCAGGGGCAAATTCAAGGGCGGTTTGTAGTGAGTAAATTCTGCGCTGGATTCAATGAGGATATCGTACGTCGCTGCTATGACGTTGACTGGGTCCACCCAAATGACAGTAACGGTGACGTTGGGGCCTTTTCCCCATTTCTGCATGCCAACTGGCTCATCTGTTGGTCCGAGGAGACCTCCGAAATTCCGGAACAGCCTTTCCTTGGCATCCCACTCCGTGCCAATCTGAAATCAGAGACCACACCACTGCTAGCATCATCTCTGCAAGCTGAGACTGCCACGTCAAGTAAGGGCTCTCAAGACACAAGCTGTATTTCTCAAACAACTTCCACAAGGTACACAGATGAGTACTATCATACTAAGAGGGATGTAATAGGCTCCAGTAGCTCTCCATTTCTTCCACATGAAAGCAGTCAATAAAGAACCAAGTCCAGTGACCAAACACTGACTATTGCAATGCATAGGTCCTATTATCTCCTGGGATATCAACACATACAGTACATTTGAGAGACGGAGCCTGCAACACAGACCTAGCCAGCTAGTGCCAAGAGTAAAGATGAGGCTTGTGCTGACTTCAGGACAATTCACATTGGGCCCTTTACTACAATTTATGCATGAGATGCTGTTTCCTTGCACTCCCTCCCCACATGATGCAATTACTTCTGGTAAACTCTTTTCTCACTGTCATAATAGTGACATTGTTTTTTTAATTATTCCTAACTAGCAGTAAAGCAGCTGATTCACAATCTAGTGTAATTATTTAATAGACCTTTCCTTTCTCTAGCAGCTTTCATATTTCAGTGTTCTTTACATGAATTGTAATGGTTCACCCATAACCCACAGGGTGATACAAATTTACGAGCTGTTGCCATTGAGCACTTGTACACAACTGAAAAAAAAATCCATCTGTAAACAGAGAGCAATAAAATGTAATAATTACCCTTCTTAGGTCAACTTTACTTTTTACTATTCCAGCACTAAGTCTGTGGGGGCTGCTCTGAAAGTAATGTCACCTGCTTTATGTCGGCCCATGATGTCAGAGGCGGCTGTTGGTGGGATGGCAGCAGAGGTTGAGCCTTCCCACCAACATCCCTTTACATGGTGTTGCTGTGTGACAGACAGCAGCAGAGGGGCACTCTGACGTGCAAGGGTAGATAAAGCAAAAAAAGTGGAACTGAATTCCTCCATGCAGAAAAAAATGGTGCCCACTGACATTCATGGACACTTGCTGACCATTGATGGAGACCAAACAGTGGCTGTGAGCATAGCTGAGGTAGTGGGTAGTGCGTTCCAGCAACAGTGCCATCCAAGCAGCTATAAGACAGTGTGTCATCTCTGCTGGTGCAGATTTCTATATGAGCGTGGCATGGAGCTCTTGTTCATCACTGGTGAAAATGCACAGCTAATGCTGGTGACTGTGCTTTTTGTAGTGGAGAATTTGCTCTATTAAACAGTGCTATTATGCTCTTTATATCTGTTGCAGTTTCCATGCAAATAAACAGGTGGCATTACTTTCAGAGCAGCTTACACAGCGTGTACTTATGGGGCTGACAGTTAACAAACCATTCTATCCATTCTCAAAAAAGCAACAGAGTGGATCACACTACTGAATGTCACATATTAGCCTTTGGTTGAAGTGTCTGTCTTCCTTGTCCCATAAGGTCCTGATCTCATGACCTCAAATCAAAAGCAATCAGTATCAAAAAAGATTTGAGTGACCTCATGGGAAGGGAAGAACAGAAGAAGCCCTTGGCTCTTTTTTGCAAGCAGACATCTGATGCCATTCCTTGGAGAGACATACAGATGTCTTCACCAACCCGGTACCACAACCTTCGTAGTCCTGCTGGTGCTCTTTGGCTTGAATCTCCAAACAAACAGCAGTGACGACCTATGAGTCGATCTTTTCCCTACACAGAAACCATGGGGTTCTCTCAGGTGGTCTCTGGAGTCCCATGCACACGCAGACAGGATCCTCTCTTTCAGTAAATGTGGATACTGAAGATTTTCCCAATGCTGTCCTGTCCCTCATATTAACCTCACATGGGTCATGGGCAGAACCTGCTTTCCTGAAAGTGTAATGAATGATTGTAGCTGATTTGCTTCAAAGATTTTTCTTCTAGATTTCACCTTAATTGATGAAAATAAGTGGTCCCAATTTAATGTTGAAATCCCTCAAATCTGGAAAACTTAACAACTACCTGATATTTATTACCACTGTTGTGTATTTTGGAAACTGTCTGGTCCTGAGACCAACTTAAATAAGTCCCTGTGTTTGGCAGACAAATTACAGGAGGACTACTAGCAAAAAGCTACAAGGCCAGTAGAATAAAATTCTAACATCCTAAACTTGTCCTTCTTCATATGAATTCCTCTACAGGACTATGACACAGCAGAATGAGAGACAAAACGAGCCTTCTACTGCTCTGCCATCAGCCCAGCAGTGCCTGCTATTTCCAAGGTATTTCACCTCACACACCAGCTAATCAAACCTGACAGTGCAGCCCAGATATCAGACCCAGCAGTGACTGCCTTGAGGAGCTGTCAGAGCCAACTCTCCTGACAAAGCCAACTGAATATGTATGGAAATAAGCTGAGAAAGAAAATTTCCTGATCAGATCCCACCACCTACTCCACTGACCCTCGTTGGGTATGCTGATATCACACCTACCTCTCAAGAGACCTGGAAATAATGAAACCACAACACGTGAAGCAAACCTGCACCCTCCTGGGCAAAGAAAACCCTGTAAGGAACAGTTGCTTTTGCCACATCTGGTATTTCTTACTGAACTGCTCCTTCAGGAAAGCAGGCTTTATCCTCAAGAATTAAATACGTTAAAGGCTTCCTTCCCAAACCCAGCAATGTTCAGAGCAGTTAACAGTATCAGGCCTGGACAAACTGGAGGTCGTGTTTCAGTCTATGGCTGAAGTCCCTCTAAAGCAGTGCTGACCACAAACCATATGAGAATGGGAATAGCATCATTCAGAGATCTTACTATCCAAGGATTTCCTAGAGAAACCAGAGAAATACAAACTAAAACAGTATTCAGGAAGTGATGCCAGCTTTCCTCTTGGAGGGGATCCTCCCACCATGACACATACCTCACCCAAAGGCCCCTGCCTTCTGTTTGAGAAGATTCCACCCAAACCAACCCATCACCCACCGCATCGGCAGCTCCAGTCCCAGGATGGGAGCCAGTGTGGAGCTATAATCCTGCCATGCAGACAAAGCCCACAATGGAAAGCAGAGGGTGAAAGATGTGGTAGAAGCACCCAGTGCCATCTCACTGACGGCCACACGATGCTGGAGAAAGGAAGGCATGGAGCTAAAGACACCTGTTGCAGGATCTGCCCTTTATTACCGGTTGCCAGCTGGGGGACATGCTTTCTGTGCTGCACAGCTTACAGGATAAACTAGTTTTAGAAGCTCCATGTTTTAAAAATAATTTACTTAAAGCACTATTGAGAGACTTGCAGCTCCTCCCTTGAACTTGACATGGCCGAATTCCCAGTACTGAGATGACTGTGAGATGACTGATGTTACAGGTCAGAAGTTACTACAGTCCTGTAACATTTGTCACAGCCCCTTAAAATATTTGAAGTAGACTTTCACTTTCAAATGGAATACAGAAAGTACAGGCTGGAATCAAACAGTAATGAAGAACTGATAACATATGAAAAGATGCAGCACAGAAAGCAACATTTTCCATATCATTATTTTAATCACCATTATTTTGGGCTTCAAGAGCAGGCACTGTGCATGGTGGATATTTGGAAAGCTGGAACTCACCCACTGGCTTATAACTCCCAATTCTATCTCTGTTCAGTCCCCAGATAAAATTTTCCCAAGATAAATTATGCCTTGATTATGGGCTTGTGTCTCATTGCTCACCACAAACAGGACCATTAGGTTCACACAATGTGCACTAATTGCCTGCCACCTAGTTTATTTTATTCTCTGTGATGAATCACGAGTCTTAACAAGACTAGAAATGAACTTAGTGTTCCACTGATACACTCTGAGCTGAAACTTTTAGTACTCTACAGCAAATCAATCTTCTGCCTTCCACGTAAAAGTTATCATTGATCTGGACTAATTGGACATATATTATGTGTATTATGTACAAGCCAGTTTTAGGAGATGTGGGAGTTTCCAAGAAAAAAGGAGGAAACACTTGGAAATCTTCTTTCTTGGATTTCCTGTAAGGTTATTCTATTTTCTCAGCCAAAGACTGAGTACAGGAGCCCAATGCAACTGGAACACTATTATGAACCCGTTCACACAGCGTATGGTGAAATCCCCCACTCAGGATGCAAAGTCTGAGAAGCAAAGGCAAGGAGCAGAGGGCAGGAAGGGCTGATCCTGCCCAGAGAGAACCTGTCTCTGCTGCCATTCTGGTTATGTCTGAGTGACACAAAGGCACCCAGGAGCCTGCACACACAGCAAGTCTGTGCTCTTCCCAGCAGATCCCACTGGTGTAAGCTGGGGACAAAACTCCCACTTAAAAGACTCCATTCAGTTTCAAGTTTCTGCCAAATTATGGGATGAAATTTGGAAAGAAAAAGAAAACCCACGCAGATTTATGTCCCAGTGAGCCCAAATCATGAATTTCTGTTTTGATGGTTAACCTGCAATCATCGATGTCCTCACCCGAGCTGAATTGCTAACTCTGCTTTACATTAGTTGGACTTCAACAAAGAGGTGGCATTTTAATAAGCTGTAGCAGATGACAGACTTTGCAGCCACACTGAAGCTGAAGAGGTTAATGCTGGATTTATATCAGGGTAACTGAGAGAATCATTTGGCTCGGAGGCAGAGATGCCTGCTGGCCAATGGAGGGCAGAAATAAGACAAACATTTAAGAAACAATTAAAACAATTAAATGTTTGACTTTGTGTCTCCTGGTCTTTTAAAACCTAGATCATTTCTGAAAAGAGAGGACAGTCCAAGAGTTTAGGTGAGAAAAAACAAGAAAGAGATGTAAGCAGCCACCAAAACTCTTTCCCCAGATTTCAAATAGAAGAAAAGTTTTCCTCAGCCTGAAAAAAGCTCCCCAGTGACCAAATCCCTCCCATGCTTTGCACTGACACAGGTCACTGCAGCAGCAGATCCCTCCATGTCTACCTGCAGCCCAGCTACTGGCTATGAGGCCGTGAAGACGGGCTCATCAGTGCAGCAGAGTTCAGGCATCCTCCCTGCAAGGTGACACTCTTCCTGTGTGTTGGGCAAAGGGGCCACTGACACACTGCTGCTTCCCCAGGAGGGGCACTGACACTGAGCACTGCTGCTCCATGACATCTGCAGAGCAGGCTTACTGTTCTGCAGGGCCGGTTTGGGGGAAAAAAGGCTTGGTGCTAATGCACTGGAGCCACAGGGGATCTGGTGCGTGGCCAGAGAGTTAATTCTGGTCCCACGAGTGCTCCCTCCCCACAGGTGAGATGAAGTTAGATGTATTCTTAATAAATATGTTTATTCTAGTTCTCAAATACTGAGTGAATGCGCTTGTTTCTATCATTCATTAGAAAAAGATTCTGCCAGCCCTGTTGCTTTTGAAAGAAGGACTCAGAGAAGGCATCAAACCGAAAGCGAGATAAAAAATACCAAATAAACAGCAGAAGTACTCCTACAAATCACAAGAATTAAAGCTTGTATGATCATTTATCACTGCATGAAATGGCAAGTCTACCATCGGACACATTGATAAACGAAACGCACCTTCCATCCATCTCTTTAATGGCACATTAATGTCATGGATTTGCCACGCACACCAAAACACTGAATCCAACTCAGGCATTTCTTAATTGCCCAAGAAGATGGTAATTTATGGACTTGGCTATAATGACTGGAATGCATTTGTTCAATCAATTTTGTGGCCTAATTGAAATTTGTGGCTTAACAAGAAAAATCACAAAATTAACTGCTCAGACAGTTGTATCTTTAAAACAGAACACAGATGTCAGGTTCTATTAGTGGTCAACTTTCCTGATACATTCTAGGGTACACTTTTTCCACTATATGTCAGATACCGAGACAAATTCCTACAACAAATAACAGGATTTGTGGGAAATCTCAGCCACTACTGTGATGATTTTCTCTTTCATGTTACAACATCAATATTCTACCCAAATGTGGCACTGGTGCCTGACTATCACTAATTTCATGGTTTGTTTTCAGCATATTCTCGAGAGGAACGTTTACCACATCCTTGCTCACATCTGGAGCTGCAGAAACACGGCATTTTTCAGCTCCCACATCTCTCTCACAGCAGTCACAACAATCACAGTCACAGAACTTCTGAGCCCCTTTTACAACAGCGAATGCCTTCAGTTTGTCAAACAGGGAATGAGGGGACACTGAGAGTAACATAAGTGAGAGTTAACCATGGATCTGGGCTGGCAAACAATATTGCCTTTGATAAAGAAACTGCATTGCACTACAGAGCTGCTCTCAGCTACAAATTACATGGAAATGCAGTTTCCATAGGTTGCTGAACTAGTACATAATCTCTTCCGTGGCTCGTGTGAATGAGTGGCTATGAATACTCACCTCTGAGAACTGCAATCTTCCAAAATCACTGGGCGGACTTGCGATCTTGAAGACTTTCTTTGGCATCACCCATGTTTCCAAAGTCTCTAGTTTACTGACAGCCAGGTTGGTGGCGTGGTGTCTGATGAGGAAACCTTGGAAACGGTCAGCGAGGAAGTAAAGGTGGACAGAAACTGGGTGGCCCATGGGATAGTATCTGCAAAACAGCACATGCACACACTCATCAGTTACACGAGAGAGACATGAAATCTCCATTTACTTGGAGCTAATGGCTTAAGAAGCATTCATTTCAACTAGAGGATTCACCGCTGTACATTAAGAGATTTCAAATGCATTCATGACTCATTATCAAACATTCTTAGGCTGTACTGATTACCCTGAAACGCAGAAAATGTCAGCAGGAGTATATACTCATTTAGAAGCTATCCACTGCTATCCACATGGTTATAAGCTCTTTAGGAGATACCTTTGTGCCATGCTAGCCAGCACCCCTCCCTTTCTACCTCTTCTGGGTAAAATGTGTCACCCAGAGATGTCAGATTAAATGGATAAATGATAAACAGAGAAAAAACGATGTTCAAGAAATGTGCTTACTGCCTTACATTGGATTCTCTCCTTTCTTTCTGCCCTCAGCAGGTTTAGTTCCTACCTGACAATGGGACAAAAGCAGGCTGGGGACAGCAGAGGGTGCTGCGAGGCTGGATGAGGGTGAGCCCATGCCCCAGGCTGTTCTGCACACAGATCTGCTCCCCATGCACTCCCAAAGGCAGCACTTGTAGGGCTGTGCAGCGGCGATGGGAGCTGGGATCCCGTCCCCATGTTTTAAGAAATACCCTTCATGTTCTTTACAGATTTGAAACGACTTCTGCCACGGTTTTTTTTACTCACAACTAACAAGAAACTGAAAAAAGGTCAAACAAAACCACTACTTGGGAGACTTGGAAACTTCCTGCTACAGTTTGGATTTCAGAGACAATGCAGTCATTGATTCAGAGTATTAAAATCTATGGTCAACTGTCTGCTGTAGTCCCAGTAAGATTTGAAATGATGCATGAGTGCACACACAGATGAATTAATAACTAAAAATATGTTCACAGCTCCAAAATCAAGTCATCTGCTACTTCACAGCAGTGACATTAACTGTCAATCAAGGCGTGTTTGCAACACATTCAAAGCCAACCAGTCTCAAAAGTCTCCCCATTCAAGTCGGGGAGGACTGGCTCCTCACACTAGTGGTAAGAGAGCTAACCAAGAATGACTTTCCATTACCCTAACCCAGCAGCAGCCAGCAGGAAGTCTCTAGAGCCCAAGAAATAAACATAACAAGACTGGCTACAAACAGGGCCAGCAGTGACAGACCGAGTGAAAACACAGCACAGCTATGCAGCCAATACCAGCAACAATCTGACTTCTGTGCTGAGCACTAAGGCCTCCTGTTTCATATGTGCAGCAGCAAATATTTACAATACCCTTGAAATAGTCTGAGTAAATTGTCTCTTGGCAGCAGCGAGTAAAAACATCTAGAGATGGTGAGAAATAAATTAAATCTCAAGCGCACATTAACGCTGTTCCCACTGAAGATGCTGATCTGCAATCTAATGCAGTAGCTGAGCAGTTTGCACGAGGCACATCTTTCTGAGGCTGCCCCTTGTTAGAACAGCGTGCAAGGCAGTTTCTTACAGATGTCTCCTGGGCAGCAGTGGGCAGCAGCATGGGACTGGCACTAAGTGTGATGCAGAGTGGTGGATGCTTTCCTCGCAGTGCCTCCAGCAGTGTGAAATGAGCTGGTCTGGTGACTGCTAAGCTAACTTTCTGCTGCTGATAGCCCTGATGGCACTGGGAATGCTGTTGAGGTGCTCAGCCCTAATGCATGCCTGCTGTCACTGCTTTAGAGACATGCAGAATCACGAGAGGAGGAGGAAGTTCATAAATGCACACATGCAGAAAGACAACAGAATATCCACAGAGAAGAGATGTGAACCGTAACCTGAAGATTATCCACTTTTCCATGATTTAAACTGGCCACGGACATTTAGAGGGGGATAAGGTAGATATGAAACAAAGTCCCTACTCCCTGTCACTGCTTGCAATTCCTTCTTGAGCTGTCTGTGGGGCTGCAGCCCACTGTAAGGCAGCCAGGCTTTATCCCGAGGACAGCTGCAATCAGCAGTGGATGACGTGACTTCCCTATTTATAATCTGAAGCAAGCTTGAAAAGCACCTTGAGTTCCTGTGCAATGAAAAGCTCCCCAGAAATGATACTGATTACTGATATAAATTATCATTGGAACACCAGCAAAAGAAATAAGCACAGAAGTAATTGTTGCATTATTTCAGTACTGGCTATACATAGCTCCCAATCTCTCTGCTGGCTTCACTCTGCAGGACAAATGACCTCAGGACTTCTTTCAGTCTGCCTTTATTTCATATAAGGAAGTTATGCTACTAGTGATTATTTGTAACTAATTGTTATTGATCTCTTACTGCTCTGTACTGCTAACCTTTAATGGCAAAGCTGTAATAGGAACCAAGAACCATTGCCACATCTTTCTAAACGGGACACTGCTCAGCACTTTCACAAGTCACAGTGCATTCAAAAACACAAGACAGGCTCGCTCCGTCTGTCAAACTACAAGGACTGTCTCAAATGCTTTCTAGCTCATCCTGTATGTGTTTACTATTAAGATTACAAAAGGCAGGGTCCCAAAAATACACTTTGATGGAGAAATTAAGAGACTGCACAGTAAGACTTTAAAAGATGAACCCTCTGAGCTAAGCAGCTTGAGATGTGGGTGCAGGCAGCAAGCATCCACCACGAGGTAAACCCTCACTATGCAAGTCTGACTCTAGGAATTCTCCCTTCAAAACATTTATATACTGAATTCCTATTTGCTAGGCTTACACACAAAAAAGGAATTTAGAATATGGCTTTTATTTGCTATATATATGTATGTATTTATATATACATATGTTTTGTTCATTCGACGTTAATGGATCCCACTTGTTGCAACATTTTTGGCACGGATGGCTGCAGCAAGCAAGCAAACCCTGCTCAAGCAAGCACTTCTCTGTGCTCCGTGTATGTGCCCAGGGAAGCAAACAAGCAAAGACCATTAACCTGCCTGGATTACACTAATTCTGAAATCCCGTCCTTTGCTTTGGTAAGCATTATAGAGGTGAGCATGACCTCTGCTGCAATCACACGGAGGCTTTAGGAGCTGCGGGTGTAATACACTCGCTGAAATTAATAAAGAAAATGCAGCGGCAGGGGCAGCGGTGCCCGGCTGGATCCTGTCAGCCCTCATCAGGCTGTAGAGCTCCTTATAAGCACAGCAAATAGGTCACCTAACGTCAACTCTGAACAACCAACACTTTGTTACAGGCAGAAACACTCCTGGAACTCACAGCTGTACCCCTGGCTACCAACTCCCTGCCAACACATCCCAGCAGAACCTCCTCCGGTCTTCAGAAACACCCAGAAAAAGACAAGATCCCAACTGACCGGCAGCTGTTGTCCCCAGCAGAGTGAAAGGAGCTCTCGGCTCTGCGCAGGCCCAGGCGGACGAAGGCGTGGTACATGGTGAGCGCCACGTCGCTGAGGCTGTGCACGCCGTCGGGCTCGTCGTACACGTTCTCCCAGTAGGAGCGGAGGCCGGGGGTGCCGGGCGGGTAGTTGCCGTACAGGTAATAGTCCAGCTGCCCGATTATCTCCTGGTTCACCACCGCTTCAAATTTGCGGGCAAAGAAAGTTGGCCTGGCAGTCTGCTGCGGTGAGGTGAAAGGAAAAGAGACAAGCTGAAGACGTGAGCAGAACTGCCCCGCAGATAAAGGTGGCTTGAACGGCACCTGTGGTTAAGGTTCAGTTAAAAGCTATGCAGTAACTCAACAAAAATGCAGATGGTTCTGGCCTGGATGTCGGCCCGAGGTCCCCCCAAGGCAGCCAGCCCTACAGGAGTGCTCTGCCCTGGATTTGGCATCACCCATTCAAAACACATTTCTTTGCCATCAGGAACAAATTCAACGACCAGCAAAGGCACAGGATCAGATCAGACCGAAGGGGAAGCACAGCAGAGGTTCCCGTTACTTGGCTTCAACTGCCCTCCCTGGGAGGTCCTCCACCACTGGGCTGTCTTGACTTGGTGGAGATTATGCTGAGGTGTTAACAGAATGTTCTCCCATTGCATGAAACCTCAAAGGAACAGGGTGATTACAGTCTGTGGCTCTACTCAGCACGCTGTCATTACAAACAACCACATCTTCCTGAATTTTCAGGCAGCACTGCATTCAAACGAGGTGAAAATGCTAAATCATTTTAGAGAATTAAAATGAGGCATTATGGCTGTTACTAATATGTAGGATATGGAAAAAAAATCAAATTAAAAGAAACTGAGCAGTTTAAGGAAAATCACACGTTGCACTGCTACTCTTCTGATAGAAAAGCATCCTTTGTTCCTTAGACATTGGATGTTTGAGCACTGTACATTGTTTATTGGTGTGAAAAGCATTTTTGGAAGAGAAAAATATTGAGCGTGACAAATGGCCAAATAAAATATCAGAAATTAAAATTTTTTCCTATCTATCTCTTATGGTGCGTTGTATCCCTTTTGTTTGGGGACAGACAGAACAAATAATGCAAAACTCCATCATTTCACTCATCCAATTAAGTGGTCAAGTGGGTCAGCTATTTTGAAATAATGGCTGGGATATCGCTAGAAGTCAACACGGTAAGCTGTGCTTTTAAAACTCAGCCACAATTCCTCAATCACTTACAGACTACTCTGCAGGCAAATACTCTCACAGGTAACAGACACAATGGCAAATGCAACGTGTGAACGCAGTCTTAGAGAAAACAAAGCTGCAGCAGGCTTTTTGGACAGTTTTTGCTAGTGAATAAAACAGGGTAGGGCCCGTTCTCTGGTCCTGAAGGCAAGCCGTGTGATGAAGTCTGCATCTGTACAGCTTTGACTATTCCCTACAGACCAAATGGACTCATTTACCTGCACTGGTAACAACAGCTGGCCTTTTCCCTTGAGCCACACTCTGTCACTGCTGGTAGGCACGAGTCAAAAATATGTCACAAAGAATCCTAATATTTAAATGGTGTGTGGGGATTACTGTGTTCCTACCCCACACCCTGGTCCTGCTTGGTTTATTGCTGTAAACACAAGCAAAATGGGCACTGCAACTTAGGGCAAAATAATGACAACTGTGCTGTCACCTGATTCATCTAAAAATGAACCAGACACAAGTTTCTTTCAAGTCTGGTTTCTAAAGCAGTTATCCTCATAGCCCACAAAGACATCAGAATTACTGTGCAGTTTGGGTTCTTTCCCTGCTGTCCATTCTTTTTATGTTTTCAGAGAAAAACCCACAGTCTTTAGAAGGCACTTTTTATTTATCTTGGTGCTTGAACACTGCTTCGGCCTGCTCAGAACGAACTCTCCAGACCAGACAGCAGGAACAGCCAGGTCTCAAGGCCAGCTACTAGTGAAGCAATGCACACATCTGGATACCAAGGCTGTGAGACAGCAGCTGTATTAAGCCCAAATACCTGGTTGACAAGAACCAGGAGAATTTAGAACAAATATAATCTGTGCACAAATATAAATGGCACAGATGACAACAGTAATTTTTCTCTGCTGGTGCCAAGCATTTCATGCCTGGGGCCACCTCCCACTGCCTTGCTCTGAAAGCTCTCCACACGCAGGAGGGATGAGGAAGGCACCCTACACCTCCGTGTCAGCGGTCTCACAGAGATCCTCTGCTCTGCACTTGACACAGTTTCAGGCATACTACTGCATATGCTACTTGACTTTTAAAAGCTTTTAAAAATCCTTTGTTTTGCCTTGCTCATATTCAGACATGCATTCTGACGTGCCAAGGAGTTCAAAAGTGCCTGAGATGGTTGAAAATTCTTTTGAGGATGTTCGTTTTCACTCTCAGACAGCACATGCTGTGGGCTCTCTGATCTCCTCCTCTGCAGCTTGCTTTGTGTCTCTGTGGAAACCACAAGTGAGACTTCTGGCACGGTGCGCTCATCCGAGGGGCTCTCTCATCAGGCACAGTGTCATAGGGGGCCTTTAATGTCTATTCTAATGCTGAACATTCCCTCACTGCTCAGTTTACCTGATACTTGCTGCGGGTTGTTTTCCCAGCCTGGAGCAGATCCACCTCTGCAAATTTGCAGGAGCATTTTAAGGCTTCCCATGTGTTCTGTGCTGGAGACTTTCCCAGGATTGGAGTCTGGGACAGCAGAGCCCCTCCTAGATAACATCTCATTTGCTCCTTTTTGACCGCCTGTGTCTCTGACTTCAACCATGTCTGGTAGGCAGCACAGCACAATAAAGAAAAGTCTCTGTTTTGGAGCAGTCATTTTTGTGCTGTAGGGTAACTCATTCCCTATCCCACACAAAGCCTGAACAAACATGCTTTATGCAAGGAGCCTTGAGAGCCGGAGGGATGGAACTGCAAATCTGGTGACCTTGAAACAAGCACTTGTTCATTCTTAACAGAAGATACACAAGCCAGATACAGTCTGGAGAGCGAGTGCTCCCCTGAGCACAAGGATTTGCTCTCATGTTTGCCTTGAGGATACTGTATCACAAAGGAACCAATTAAACTTTTTGAGGCAGTCCTGCCAAGCCTGCATGACCAGAAGTTCCTAACTCTGGCTTCCAAAACCACGAGGCAAACAGAAATATAATTGTGTTTAAAGAATACAATAATGAAAACTGATTTGCCTTGTGCTATGCAAGCAATTCTAGTCAATTTTAAAGCTTTATTCCGAAGATGAGGAATGCTTAACAACATTAAGCCACAACTTTCATGAAATCATGAAGGCACCTGAGCTGGAACTTGTGAAAACTCATCAGCCCAAGTGGTACAGTGTGATGGGTGTCAAGCTTCCCTCATTTCTAGTACAACAGGCCCACCAATGCCATGCAGTCTGAAGAGCAACCCTGGGGCCCTGCTGCACAGCAATTAGTCTCAAAGGCTAAAATACAGAAAGCCACATTTCTCCTTCTCCTGGACTGAAGATAATTGCATCCTCACACCTCTTTCTTCACCTTGCTTGGGTATACCTGCCCTTTGTGGGTATCAGAAAAGAGAATGGTTCAGTTACCTGGAATCTGTGGAAGTCTGCTGGTTTGAAGTCATTGGGCGAACAGCCACACCAGTCAACAATGTGCTTGTACTGACACTTGCAACCAAGTTTACGGTTCCAGTTTGTGATGCGCAGGTTGTTGTCCACCATGGAGTCGCAGTACAAGCTATTTTCCAGAACAGTGTGAAAGAAAGACTGAAAAACAGACAGAACACATGAGTACACACATGATAAATCTCAAATTGTTCCCTAAAACTATTCTCAAACCTTAACCACCAACTTGGTTACTACGGAATAAAAAGAAGTCTCTGCTCTTGGGTGGGTCTGTGCACCTCCAACACTCCTAAATGCTCTGCTGGTTGAATGGGCTTGCACTGAAATACTCAGCTCACCCCAGGCATCAGAAGGACGTTCTGCCTTCTGCAATTACGTCTGAAATCGTAAGTCTTTATCTGCTGACTCAAGGCAGCAAGGAAGTCCTATTGGGCCATCCTAATTATATCTCCATAATATCAGCTATTACATAAATCATGTGTAATGGGGACTGATATAGCAGGTTAACAGGTCAGTGAAGGCAGGGTGATTTTAAGAAGCCAGTCACGTATCTTGCAAAGAAAACCTCGTAGATAGAAACTATGGAATATGATCAAATTTAGCTCCGTAAGAGACAATTTTAGGAGTAGAGACTTCTCTTTAAAATCAGCAAGATCTATAAATAATCAGCATGACACTACCATGGCTGGCCCCCCAAATAATCCCCCTACCCTTTTAATGTTAAATGACAGCCCAGTGAATATGGATTTTATGCTTGAACTGTTTAGTTAAACCCATAAAGGCATCCATTCTCATTCAAGCGGGAGGAAGAAAAAAAAACCTTACCCAATTACCCATTGCCCTGTGTCCTTTCATAATGATACAGAAATTTCTCTGAGATAATGGATGAAAAGGTTATCAGAGTTGAGAGAAAAGGTGATTTTTAACAGAAACGGGATTAAAGCAGAATTATTCAACATGTGTGTGGAATAATAAACTCCTATCATAAGATGACAATCACCGCGTTCCACTGCAAGCTAATAAGCCTAAATCTGCAAGATCAGACTCATCAATCCCTCACAGTGCTCAGGGGCTGCTGGCAAGGAGAAAAGCTGCCACCTTAAAGAGAGCCATAAGGTGCTGCTAGGATGGCTGCATGCTGCACTCCCTGGGAGCACAGCCCTGTGCAACGCAGCCGCCAGGCCAGCACAGTACTGCCTGCCGGGCTCAGCTCTGCCTGGGGACACTGTGCGACGCCTGACACAGTGCCATGGAGAGAGCCCAGCCTGGTGTGAGTTCCTGACCTGCAGCACCTGTAGCCAGAACCATCCCTAAGTGACAGAGCCCGTCTGCAACGATGCCTTCTAGAGCAGTTTTGAATGGAACAATAAACCTTTGTTTGGAGACTTTTTGTCTTTAAACAGAAGGAATGGGTAACAGTGAGCAAAGCTACTTAGGAAGACAATATGCCAGCTACAACAGCCCTCAGAAGCCTTGTGGAAGAACAATCTGCACACCCGGCTGGATTTCTGGTTGTTCAGTGACAGATTAATAGGCTTAAAAGTATAAAACAAAGCCACTCCTGGCAAAGATGTCCCACAAACAAACTGCATGAGCAGATCTGACACTGACAGACTTACTCAGTGAGAGTAAAATTCTCATTGCTGACCGCAGGACGATCCCAAGCCCACTGACATCAGAAAAATCCTCACACTTTGTGATCTTTGAGACATGCACGAAGCTGCCCTTTAGAAAACGGAGGCACCTCTCAGAACTCACCTCGGCAGGCAGCAACGTGTAAGAATAAAACCTCTTCATCTTTGTCACGAGGTCGTCGTTGGAAAAAGTGACATACTCCACAAACTTCCTGTTGAGGAGAAACCAGTCCGACCCGCCATCCACCGCGATGCCCTCGGGGATCTTCCTGTCCCCCAGGCGCCACATGTGCGTGTCGCACTCCAGGAAGAGCCGGTCCAGTCCCTGTTTTCTAATGAACCTGAGGGAAAGCAAAGCCGGACATTAAACGCTCATTTGTGTTTTGTTATGGGCGCTAGCTCTACAAATAATGAAGCTACTTTCTCAAACAAAACAGGACCAAGAGGTCACTTGTTTGTATTTCTGCTCTGCTCATAAACAACGCAGAGGGGTTTAATAAATGATTCATTAGTTATATGTTTGGATACAGGGGAAAGAACAACAGATTGCTTTTAAACATCATTTACACCTTCTGCTGTCCTAAGACAGAACTGTGCACATTACAGTGCCTAACGGCAGGAAATTCTGCACTGCTCATTAACTCTTTGCAAACCACTGGGGAACCACCGGAGCGCAGAGGGGAACTACGACCAGTCTGTGCCGTTGGCTTCTCCAAATAAACGCGGCGCTGCTGAAAAACAGCTAACTGTACATAAAGGCAAAACGACCAATTACCTTCTATGTTATTACCCCGTGAATTTTTCTACAGGGGTATAGTTAATTAGGAAGAAATACAACTGCATTGCTCTTTGCTGTAGAATGAGTATGTTTGCTTCATTTTCAAGTCTACAGGGAACAATGTTTTGTTTACTGCTGAACCATGAACACGAGGAGCAACCACAGAACTGCAGTGTTATGGAAATGAATTATTTGAGACCAATATAATAAGAAAAAGGAGTTGGAAAATCAATCTGTGCTTGAAAACATGCTGGACTGTATGCCCACACGTTCGGGGACAGTCTGACACAGGTTTCTATTTGTTATTTGATTTTCAGAATAATTTCTCCCAAAGGGAAGCAGGACTGCCATGAATTAGCACAGGTTTACCCGGGGGGCTGAGAGCATTAATAAAGGCAAGTCACTGTGCTGAACACATGCCGTGCATTCCAAGCAATAGCAGACGGCAGCTGGCCAGGCTGCTTGCAGGAACGAAGATGTCCCAGCTAACGGGCCAAGATGAGGGGTCTCGCTCCTTGTAGGCTAATTCCCTGGTTAAAGTGTCATTCTGTATCAATCAAAGAACCAAAAAAAAGTCATGAGAATTACAAAATGTTGTGTACTGCTTTTCAAAAAGACCAGAAACGACTTCAGGGTCTTTCCCGCGGTCCTACTGACAGCGATGTCTCTGTTCTATTAACACAACCATGTGGACAATGTGTGGATGCGAGTGGCAACATTTTTCTTTCCGTGAACAAGTTTCTAATTTCATGTTCCATTATGAAGGATAATAGAAAAGTCTTGCAATTTTAATGCAGTGCTCTGGAATGTAATCTTCAAATTCAATATTTATGCAGTTATCTCCAAATCAAATATTAATGTGCCTGAAAGTTCGGTCATCTATTTATTTCCTTTCAAAACTAAATACTCATTTGAGTTAATTATTTTAAGAAAATAATAGAATTTTATTGACCATATTTAAGCAGGATGTAAAGTTCTTTCCCATGAAGTCATTTCTTCCAACTGCTATCTCTGCTGATTTATCATCCTGTATTCACATTTCCTAACAGAAGGGTTTTTGAATTCAACAGAAACCCCCAACCCAGAAGAATGCCTGATCATTTCAAAACCCCTCAACTCACAACTGTCTCAGCCAACACTACAAATCCTCAAACACTTTAGCTTTACTGTCTGAAATTGGCAACAGAAGAACGCAGCCATGATCAAAATGAGAAGGTCCCAACAACTCCAGACTCACAGCTTCGTGTTTTCCGTAACGGTTTAAAGGCTTCTTTTTCTTGCTAACATACACAGTTCTATGTTTTTTTAATGCCTTGTACAAGCAAATCCTGGCGTATGGAGTGAAGAAAGACCATTCTTGGTAGCACAAATGTTTTCGCAGTAAATCTTAGTCCTAAAATCCTATTCAACAAGGTTATCAGAAGACAGCTAAATGCGCTTTCCAACGTCCATACTCCAGCAAAGCAATGTAGCCCAACTGAAAAGCAACAAAGCCTTTGGGATCTGCAAAAGCCAACCCTCCTGCTAACAATTCTTAAGGAATGCTTCCCAGGAACATCTTATCAGGTTCTAAATAGCAGTAACAAACAAATAAGAAAAGGGCATTTCTCAGAAGGCTCACTCAGCCTGCTTCACACACAGTTATTACACCTAACATTGCAATTTGCTGCATAGCAGATGATTTCCTTTTATCTGTAGAGCAGCAATTCATACAAGGAACTCTGAAGTTAGAGCTCTCCACTGGGCAATGGCTTGTTATCCATTTATGCTCCTTGGGAGCCAAGGGGACCCAGCGCAGCTCAGATCTGCCAGAAGCAAAGGGATCCTGCCTGAGGATGCAGTGGGCTGTCCCAGCAAGCCCAGGCCGTGCTGCTGGCATGTGCAGCACAAAGCTGCACACCAAAGTGGAAAAGGTGGATGAGGCTTTCTTTTTTCTCCATGCCCTGCTCCAGGATGACTGATGTTACTGGCTGCTCTGGCAAGAGCAATTTTGGCACTTAGGGAAGAAAGAGCTTACTCTAAGCATACTGGATGTTTCCTGAGGGAAAGCTAAAGGTGCCATTTGTATGCCACGTAGGCCTTTCAAGGAATCAAAACCCCTCCAATGTTACAAACAGTTCATAAGGATTCTTCACTAGCCATCCAGCAACGCTTGCAGCAGCCAGTCCTGAAAAGAAAGATAAGGAGATGGAGGGCAAAACCATAACCTACTGATTTGTTTCTATAGTCTAATGCTGCATTTCATCAGTTCCTTGCTATGCCTGCTGTAATACTGAAACACTGCTTTTTCTAAAGCTATGCCAAGCTTCAGAGAAAGCAACAAAATGCAGAAGTGATGATTCTTCCCTTACGTCTCTTTCTTGGGTTTTGTAGGACAGCCAGCAGACCTCTCTTGAAAGAATGTTAAAAAAAAGTGCATTAGCAATAATATTTCATTTCTGTTAGTCAGTGTGGACAAGTTCTGGTGCTTTCTGGCATCCTGAACTTCAGGTAATACTGCAGTTGCACTTGCCAGGACAGTGACACAGTGTGGTTGGCCAAACGCGATGCAGACTGCCATCAGATGGAGACACTTGTCCCTTTCTCCTGATCTAAGTGAACAATGGAAGGAAAATAATGATGATATGAAAAGAGAGCCAACCAGGAGAAACTACAATTAAGATAAAACCAGGGTTAAGAAAAAAGAATCGCATTTTACCTTAGTTCACATAAGGCTCCATCTAAGACATTTTATCCTTATTTTCGCATTAACTCTTGATCAGAAGCCTCCAGCTTCATGGCAGCTGCATTCTACTCTCAAGTAACTGCAAACAGTGCACTACAGCAATGCAACTCTCCAGCTGAGCTCCCCAACCAGGCTGCTGGGGGTCTGAATGTTGCAGTTTCTGGTACTGGGCTTTACAAGGTTCCCTATTAATATTTTTATACTTAGTTAAAAAAACAACATCGACTGCTATACACTGTGTCACATTTGGTACAGCTAGCTAATTGCCAGACAGCTCATGACTGCAGTGTAGCTCAGGGAACTCCTCTTACTTTGCAGTACATTTAAATATTTACCAACTCATTTCAAATGAGAACCTACAACTGTGCCCCACAGAGCATTTGTAAGACGTTTAGTACATGCTCCTGCAATGTGAATATAAACATGCAGCTAAGCTCCCACAGCATGTTTGCATTACCAATAAATGCTGCTGCAGTTACCTACTCTGAGCAGACACCTCAAGCAGCTCTTCCCTTTTGGAGCAGATTTCTCCAAGTGGTGCTGTGCACTGCAGTGACACTGACACCCCCACTACTGGGTACACTGCACAACCTCATGCTTTTGTCCTGCTGCCTTCTGCTTTCCAAAGCCCATGAATGAAGGGAACTTTCTGGCAACTGAGTATGCAGGAAGTGCAGAATTCAGAACATTGGCCCTTTAAAAAGGTCAGGGAAGAGCATTGGTATAAATAGATAAAAACAAAAAGAGAGATGAAAAAAGGGGGGGAAATAAAATGTCACCTGATGCATTTAAATTGCAGCGTCCTGAATGCAAATTTTATAACGTGAAAGGCAGAATTATTTCTTATCTTTCTTTATAAAATTCTTGAAAAAACTATGAACACAGTGCTACCCTATCAATCCCTTAAGCTTTAATGCAAATGCACAAACACCAACAAAATGAGAACGGCTGGATTTGCTTTACTTAGACTGGACTTGTTTCACAGGCATAAGCCGAACCCGTAAGTAAGCACACAAATCAGAATGCTTTTAGTAGCTTTGCCACTGCACTAACTGCTCAGAAGCTGACTAGAACGTTGCTTTTCTAAAATGATCAGGGATGGCCATTTGTCACTCTCTGCCCTACAGGAGAGGAGCACTGGGCCGTGTGGAGCAGCACCAGCCTCAGGGCCCAAGGTTCAGCTCAGAGCTAACAACACAGGTCACAGAGCCATGGAAAAGACACACAGCACTAAGAGACACAGAGGCATCAGCTCTGCCATCAGTTGGGTACCGTGAGACCAAAAAGCACTACTCGAAGGATTTCCAAATCATCTGCATTACCAATGTGATTTCCAACACTCTTAAGCAGTTTTAAATTCAGTGTGCAATAAATCTGTGGCAGACAACAGGTCTGCTACCACAAACACTGAAGATTTACTTCTTAACAGCGTAGCAGATATGGTACAGGATCTGAACTACTATGTTACACATGTCCTTTCTCAAGCAATGGCATCATTATGGAAACCAAACATCCATCAGATTTAGGGTATTCCACAGGAGATGGGCTGCTCGTCGCTGATGGATACAGGTTTTATCTGGCCATTATTCCATATCTACACGGACATAATTGGATTTTTCAAGCTTTGTAATAGAGCCTCATACTCTACATAATTTATTGCTGCTTCTTCATATGCAATTTCCTCATCCTATCCATTTGATGCTTTAATCATATCACATCTTCATACGAGCTTTAGAAGACATTTCTCATGATACTTTTTTCTTGTCGACCTTTTCCTAAGAGTTAACTTGCACTGGCTTAGAAAAATCTTATTTTCCATCTTCTGGAAATCTCTCAGAGGAGTCTTAAAAAACCTTCCTGCTTCTTAACATTTTGATGCTGTGGCTCAGAGAGCAAACTCCTCCAGTGTGCCAAAAATAAGAAAAATTCTAAAATTGTTTTTAGTGTAGGAAACTTCAAGAGTCTATTTTTGCAGTAATGACTCCACTAGGCATTGCCTTGTTTTGACAACAGCCCCATCCAGTCCCCTGTGAGAGTAAAGCTCCAAGGGAACTTTCAAGGATTTGCCTCTGCGTTTCCACCACTCCTCAGTTCCAATGTCTCTTAGGAAACGCGGGGACAGCTTTTCCAAGGACAAAAATGTAACAGTGAACTCTCACGACATGGGAGTTTGCAAATCCAGTGGTTGTTTTGTTTTTTTTAATATAAAAATAATCAAAATATGGAGAAAACTGCACATGAAGAGAGACAGCATGAATTCATTGCAGACGGACTCAGCAACATGAAAGCTGACATTCTGCCATCTGTTGTCTCTGATAAATGTCTTCCTCAGATGATTTCTTCTCCCCAGCACCCACACGACTAACCATGCCCACCAGGGAGTGCTGCTGGGGAGGTGCAGCTGAGCTCTAAGTCATCTCATCCATGTGCATCTATGGGGATTCAAACTTTCCAAATGATGTGGGTAAGTGTGAGTTGCTTCTATGGGCGTCCAAGCTGCCAAATCAGGTTATTCATCCCCGATTCTTTAAGCAGTGGGTAGAACAGGGCCAACAACATCTGACAAAAAAATATTCCCTGCTAATTTCATGAAACGTCTCAGGATCTTGGATGAAGGGACACAAATTTTATTACTGACACCACTGAAAAAAAAAAGCGTGCAGCTCAACGTTCTTAGATAGCAATCAGATTTCTGACTACTTTTCCGTGCCACAATTTTCATCTTCCCACCCCACTCTGAAAGTTATTGCTTCTTCAGACCTTCCCACGTACTGCTTCTTCCTGAACTGCTGCTTATATATTCTACCAACATTAATAAACTCAACCAAAAAAAAAAAAAAAATCCCACTTTTTCCCATGTCAAAGCACAAGGCTGCTTTCACTGCACCTTCCTACCATCTTTTATCTATGTCTTTCCTTTGCTTGGCCATTTAGCACTGCTTTCAAAAACAGAACAGGATAAAAAGCCCTATAGGGAAGCAAATAGTCAAACTGAAACAGCAAAGGCTTTACGGCGCCCCTAACTCTTCTATAAAGCAGTAAGGAACAGATGAAAGTTAGCTGTAACATTTTCAAATGCACTCTTTGCATAGAAGATGCACGTTGCTATTTCAGTCGCTACAGCTCACATGCAACTGTGGGGCTGAGCTACTTACAAGCAAAAAATAGATCTTCCCAGTCTGTGTGCTTCAGAATACTGAAGTGTTCAAAAAAAAGAAAAAAAACACAAAAAGCCTGGGAGTGAGATCTGAGCCAAATGAACCACCAAATACTTGATGTGAGCAGGAAGGGAAGTGATTAAACTGTTCTGACAGCAGGGATAATAAATCCGTATTTTCTAGTATTAAAAGAAAACAACAAACACCAGAAGAGAACCCAGGTTCCACCCAAACTGCCAAATTTGTGGAGGCCGTTTCTTTAGTTACCTGTTTTCTACTATGAGCTCCAGATTCTGCTAGGATTTAGCAGCATCCAACCTTTGCAGCATGCTTACAGCACTCTGAAATGATTAATGTTTGCTTCTGTTTGTGCTTTTTTTCTTAGAAGTCATTTTCCTGTCACTGGAGATGTCACATTTCACCATCTCCATATTTTATTACACATCATCCAGGTGCTGTTCCTGGTACAGCTTGCACAACTACCGGCTTGTTCTTTCTCTTTAATAGTGTAAGACACTGAAAAGAGGAGAAAATGTGTTGCCCACTAAGTGCTGTGTAATGACTCCAGCCACTGTGCGCAATCTCCCCTCATACATCTAGCTCTCTAAGGAAATAATGCTTCTCCAGCTGAGCTAAGGAGCCATTTTCACATCCGTTCCCTTTCTTGAAACTACTAAATGAAAATCAGAGTGATGCACTTTTTAATGACTTTGGCATAACTAAAAGAAAACTTCTCTCTAAAAAAGGAAGCCTGCTTTCTCTCCTTATTTGGCAGTAAAACATGTACTGATTTTGAACATGGCTTGAATACAAAGCACACTGTAATTGAGCTCTACGAGCGTTTCAGCTTTAAGATGGCACTTCTGATCTTTGTTTCTGATCTACAGACAGAATTCAGAAAATATGCAGGAGGTTACAAAGCAGATTTAGTCGGAAGGCTTACTTTTTAGGAGTCGTATTCACTCACAAATTAAAATAGAAAGCAGCAGTGATTTTTATATGCTGAGTTCCTGCATTATTAGTTTACCAGGTTTTGAGAGAAAAACCTCAGAAGAGAAGTTATCATTGCACACGGAGCACCAGTCAGTCAGGTGCAGCACCCTCTCCCTTATCATCCCTTCAGCAGGACATTTTAGAGAAAAAGCCCTGTTAAGTCTGCTTAGAGACAGGATGTCCCTGGGCAAAGCTTTCTCTGACCGCCCTCTAAGGTAGAGATTGGTTTGTGTCTAAAATCCCAAATTGGCCCTGTTTTCTTTTGCCTTTTTTTTTTTTAGGCTGCAGCTTCTCTTGTTAGCTCTCACAGAGCTCCTGTTTGCACCATTTGCCCTACTGGATACTTGTTTCACACAGGGATGTGGCAAGGCAGAGTAAATAGTAACATTTAAAGAATGGCCAGACAAAGGATTTCCCGATTCCTGCCTATAGGGCTAAACCTCTAACCCTCGCCGGTATGACCATAGCTCAGATAGCTCGAGCATGAAATAAAAGTCATTGGAAACCGTGTGCCAAATGGTTATGGCAGACAGTACATTTAGGCACAACTGAGTAACTGGAACACTAAAACTGAAAGATCAGGCTGGAAATTCATCTACTATACGAACAGAGGTCTAACTGCTTTTTGATCAGCCTCTGACACTCATGCATTAACATTTACTGAATGCCAATATTAATCAGAGGTCTCTGGCAGCTGGCCTGTGCCCTGTCCCTTCAGATATCTCGAGCATGCAGGAGGGGAGCCAGCCTATCTCCCCAGTAGAAATTCTGGGGAGCTGCCAAGGGGCGACATGAAGGGATCCATTCATCCAGCAGCCAGAAGCAGGAATGGGACTCATGGAGCACACAGACAGAGGAAGCAGAACTTTGTGTCCCACGTGATGCTCCCTGATGCACAGAGAGGTTTTGTTAGAACTCCAGGAGAAAAACCCCAAAACCTGGTGATGTGCTGTAATGAGGTAAAAGGTATTTAACTGTTCATAGAGTCAAAGGGAACCAATTAATTAATGAATGGGCAGTTATTGCTTTGAGTAGAGGGCAAGTGACACATTAACTCACTTTATTACTAAATTAATACTAGATTTATGTGCTTAATTGATCTAAAATGCTCTAACCCAGCTGAAGTTTCATGCTTAGTTAATGACTGTTTACATGGGTTGACAGTGACAGGACAAGACCGACTGCACCTCCCTGGCCACTGCTTCTTCCTCCTTTACTCAGCCCCACTGCTGACCACTGCTGCCAGCAGAGCTGAGTCCGCCAGTTACTCTGACACTCTGCATTTCCCAGGCTGAAGAATCTCCTCTGAAAACTGCTGACTCTAATTTAAATATTATCCCTCACAGTACTTTTTTTTACTACGTCCTACGGAATTTTAGTATGCATCATGAAAGCTCATGAGGACTCCATTCAAACCAGAGCATGACAGAATTGATAAATTCAATGACAAGAGCAAGAACTGTCAAGAAAAGAAACCTGTGAGCTATTCTACCCACCCTCAGCACTGAACATGCTATGTGATGTCTCACATTCTCTCTACACTTTATCTGAACCCAGCCTTACAGCACGCTTGACATTTTACAGAATAAAGAGATTACCTGCTGACCCAGGCAGAACAAAAGAGTATTTTCAGGTGCAAAGCTACTGGGACTCAGCATATGGAGTTGCTGGAGCTGATGTAGGATTGGTTATGTAGTATGAAAATACCAATAATAAGGAAAAGAGAAGCATCACAGTCAGACAGTAAAGCTCTTTGAGCTACAGATGCTGTTTAAAGCCCTGGAAATGTGGTGCTTGGTCACTACTGCTCCCTGAAAGCAAAAGCTGATGCACTGTGGGCAAGAGCACATCTGCCTTCCTTCAAGTCTCACACAGGGTGGATAGAGAGGAACACTGCTCTGAGGTCTTGAAATCATAGGGGTCACAGAACCCTCAGCTATCACTCCCAGCCCTGCCAGCATGTGCAGGCTGGCCCAGAGCTCATGGAGACTCGCTGCCTGCACAAGACTTTCCTTCTGGCCCCTTTGGAAGTTTTATTATTTCTGATAAACCACCTCTGTAAGAGTGGTCAGCAAGGGGTTGTGCAGACTAGGAGCAAATATTCTGGACTAATTCCAAAGTACCATTCCCAAAACAGCCATCCATGTTAGACCACAAGCAGGGAGCAATCATGGACTGCTTCATGCCTTCTTCCCTATAAAACCATCTTTACATGTGACCATCAGGAAGAGCCACCCTGGATCGACCATTCTCAGGTAGGGGCTCCTCCTCACCCACTTCCTCTTTGCTGGAGCAGGGATTTCTCCACTCAGTTGCTACACAGAAGCCCAGTGCTGCAGGTCAAACAGCAGAGTGAAGGGCTGCCTTACCTTGCGTTGTCCCTCCCGTGCGACTTCAAGAAGTTCATGTCGCGGTACCTGGACAGGAACGCTACGAGCTGGTCATTTGTTCTGTGAGAGAAAGAACAAAAGGTGAACAATCACAAGATGAAAAGTACCATCTTTAGAGCTCTTTATGCACTTCTTGTTCTCATTTGGAAACCCTCTGCAGAATGAAGCAGTTACTGAAAAACTTAAATCCTTCTGCTAAGCTTCACTGTCCTCCTGTATTGAGCACGGTGTGCCTGGAAAGAAGCAATATGATGCCTTGAAAAAAAATCACATCAAATCTTGGCAAATGTTTTCAGTATTGGAACAGAGCACACACTGAGAAATACTGCTCAGCACTTTTCAAGTATGAAAATCCAGCTGCGGGAAAGCTGGACTGATAGTTCCCTTTTACATGCTTTGCTAGGTCTGTCTCAGGGAATTTGGTGAAGTATCTACTGGCATTTTCTTTGTTTCAGTCTTTGTACTAAAGATGCCACAGCTGGAATGCAGAAAGCAGGAGAACTTGGTTGTCAAAATCCCAATAAAATTAATAGGAACAAAGGAATTCAGAAGGTTAATTCCAGTTTGTATGACTGGCAGCTCGACACTGGCATTTTCAGAATTTCAACTGACACGTCTGAGAAGGTACTTCTGCATGGCAGCTTTTGTGGTCTGGTTATTTCTTTAGCAATGGAGCAAAAATGTCCTCTTTTTACCTAGGTCAGCATATTTTAGGAAAAGAGAAGAAATCATATTAAAAAGATCTTCACCTTTTGGTTTGCATTCAAAAACTCATTATAGGTGCAACAGCTGTTAAGGAAATGGTCTGTAAATGAACTTGATAGCAGAAAAACTAAGAAAACCAGCTGTCAGTAGCATTGTAACTTGAAAACATTTTATTAGTATAAGCCCTAGAAAATCAAGTGAAACAAGACTATTGTACCACATGCATTTAACTTCTGGCATCGGTCTGCAACAACTCAGAAGTGTTAGCAGACTAGTAGCCTATTTCCATATCTAAAAACCCAATTTCTTGTTGTCATAAATAGCATTACCTCACTGAACTTACAAGAACAAGTTAGCCATTGATTTTATCTGGACCAAATGGAGATTCTGTCCATTGACTGGCCTATGTGACCAGGCTGAGCAGCCTCAGACCCTCCTCCTATGCTCACTCATGTACACTTTACTACCTCCCAGGGTCAGTCTATGCATCTCAATTTGGCAACCTCAGAAAACTGCTTTCTGTATAGTAAGCTGTGCAGATTTTCACATTTGCTGCTCCAGTGATTCCCCATCTTACTGGGATGAATAGGCATTTAGTGAATTTACTTAGCAATGCTTCCACATGAAATGGTTTCAATGGCTGACATCTTTGGGTGAGTTTCTAGGCAAAAGCTGGCACGCAAAGATGATCTTTAGAAATATAACCAAGTTGGGAAGTGTTTGAGTTTTAATTTTCTTACAGGACAAAAATCAAATCAACTGAAGCAACAGCCCACACCACTTAATAAAACATCATGTATGGATTGCTCACCAACCTATAGTGGGCTATTCAGTGGTGCTCCGTCGAATGCATCTGGGTTCAGGGCTGTCATATGAGCTTTTTAGTCATTTCCACTTTTTAGATACTTCTTATAAAAGCCCATATGGCTTTTAGTTCTTAAAAAAATTAATAATTGATAACTTTCCACTCTTTGAAAACACTGGTGGCATCATGGTCCTACTTTCTGTAAAATATGTATTTTTGGAAAAAACTCCCCATAGGATTTATTAAGTATGCTTCTTTTCGTGTGTTGACAACATGGAAATAAAACATCACATTTCCATTTGGTAAAACACTTCAGTTATTTGACATTCAGATTCATGCAGTCAACCAATTCCTTGCTCAGTATGGGAGCACACTGAATTTCTATTAAGCTTTCATTCAAACCACTTCTTCTGGCCCTGACACCATGAGGATGCTGCACATCACCTCCAAGCCATTCCATCACACCACATTAAAAAGAAAACCAAGGGTATTCAACACGCTGTAGATGCTTCTTTATGTGCAGGGGCAGCACCGTCACAGAGCCAGCAGCACTGGTTATTTACAGCACCCCCAGCACCCTGTGAGAAATGAGCCTCTGCTTCATCTGAGGGAAGCAATGGAAAGCTGAGACTTCCAACTGTAAACATCATTGGGAGCAACATCATCAGCACAATGCCAAATTAATTTCTGCTCCAACTCCACACATTTCAGGGCAATTCACGGAGCACAAACCTGGCAAAAAAAATCCCTTGCTAACCACTACAGTGTAAGAGAAAGTAAGGAGAGCAACACATTTCCAGTGCTTCCTTCCTACGGAGGAAATCAGAAAGTCGGGATAAGGGAGAGTATTTTTGTGCTAATGTGCACACTAGTACATGTGTTACATTTCAATCAGTCTCCCCCGTGTGCAGCAGCACAAACACCATGTAAGAAGTCTTTCCAGAGTCGGTGGTGAATGCACTCACACAGCTCCCACTTCTACTTCCTTTTGTTATTAAGCTAATTAGGAGGGTGAGGTGTCAGGGAAAAGGATTAGTTAACTGAGCACCTGTATGGTGAGTGGGTGGAGAGGGTGATGTGGGAGTAGAGGGCAGAGGAAATGTGCTCACTCACAGGTGTGTGGCACACTGAGCGAGATGTGAAACTGAACCTCTCGTGAATTCCGCATGTAGAGGGGATCCACGAAAAGGAGACAAGTGAAGGAGAATGAAGAGGAAACAAAGCATTTCTGACATCTCTGATGGAGATTTAGGGTCACGCAACAGCAGGACTCCCAGCTGGAATGGTGGGGTCCACCAAATCCATCCAGACTCAGCTCAGAGGACAAAGACAGCCCTGAAAGGTTACGGCTGAACGCCTGCACTGGGTTCAGAGAGGGTTAGGACCAACACAATGCTTAGGGTTCAAGAAATTGAGAGGTGAGAGGTACAGCAGGAATGGAGCTCAGAGAGACTGTCAAAGGAAAGCAAAGCCAGACACCAGCTTTTTCTCACGAGCATCCCTACTGTAGGGTTCAGGTGTCTGAGGGTGTAAGCAGTCACCAGGGTCTCAAGTATACGGACACGCTTTGCACTGCAGTACATTCAGAAAATAACGTGTGCACTGGGAAACGAACTGGAAAATGGGAAAGAAACCCAGTGACTTAGTGCTGGCACTGTCTGGAGGCCGACCTGCCCAGGGGCAGTACGAGCATCTCCCCATGCACGGCCACAGCACAGTGCTGCACAGAACAAAGGGCAGTGCTGGTTTTAAACAAATCTTCCCAGTCCTGGTGACTAATCCATGCAAAGAGCAAAGATCCCCTTAGTTTACAGCTGTGAAAATAGATTAAGAAAAGTCTTTGGTGAATCTGAGAGAAGGAAAACAAGCAATTGTTACATTTGGAAGACAGTGAAGTCTAACATAAATTTCCTTGATTCAGCAAAGTGCTTTAACGCATGGACAACCCGAAGGATGTAAAGAATAGCATCCTCTTCAATGATCATAAGCCAAAACTTACACAACTGCTTAACAACATGACTTACATTAATCAAATGTTCAAAGTTCAAAGTTTTTGCTTTTGGCAGCACACATATATGGGAACAATACTGTTTGATTCTGTGTAGGAATGAGATGAATAAAAGAGCAACTGCTGTACCTCTGTTTCTGGGCACTGCCTGCCCAGGCTGAAGTGGAAATTAACAACCTTATCACCAAGTGGGAGCAGTCTGCTCACATGTGACACAGTGTGCTGTGCTACCAGCACCAGCCATTAATTACAGAACTGGAGGAGCTGGAAGGGACCTCTGGAGATCATCTAATCCAATGCCCTGTTCAAGCAGGTTCCCTACAGGAGGAGACCTATTCTTCTCCCTGCGTATGTCTCAGATCCTTAGTGCCATTCTGACCATATGACAGAATTCACCTGTCCTGCACTAGAACTTGCTATTTCTAACTTCAATTTTGAGAATAATCAGTGTTTTAAAAAAAAGTGCTATAAGCAGAAATGATTAAGCTCTAAGTTAGTGACTATGCTGAGGCCCATTTGCAAACACTGCAGTGATACCAGAAGGTTCATCATGTGTAATTGTAACTGACATTCATGGCACCCACATCTCACCTGGTAATTGTTCTGTAAACAGAACACAGAAAGGAAAATGTTTCCTGACCTGGAAAGCTCACAGGATAGAAAAAGCATTAAATAGGTCACTAAAGACTAAGATCACAGTCCTCTACAGACAGGAATACACATCTCAAGATGCTGAACAGAAGTATTGGCTGAACTCGGTGCAACATCACATTGAGAGCTGGCTGCAAGACTGCTCATATCAGCCTACAAACACCCCTTACTGCTGGTAGCTAACTCCACACCCAGGGAAAATGCTCCACTGAGGGATAAGGCAGTGATGCTTAAAGCAAAATGATAAAACCATGTGGATGCAAGCAGAACAATAAAGAAAGCCACTTTCTGTTGCACAGTTCAATTCTGGGACCCTGCACGCCCAGCCTGGTCACCACATGGTGCTGCCAGCCCATCCATCTCCCCAGCTCCAGCGCTGCCTTTGCAAGGGGAGCGCCAGAGAATCAGGCAGCATCAAGGAGAGACGACTCTGCTGTGTAAAAGCACAGGGGAAGGCTATACTTAGCCCTTGCTATCTGTCACAGAACAAATATTAGCGTTTGCTCAGAGAAGCCGATTCCCCTAAGACCAGTCATTCATAAAACACAGCATAAAAATGAGAGCGACAGAGGGGATTTCAGAGGCCAACCGCATGCAGAAGGCTGCAGGTGACTATTAACACCTCTGCTTTTACAGCACTGTTGTCTTTAGCTGTTTGTTTTGTCTTTCAAGCTGTGTTTAGCAGAGGAGCAGGTGGCAGAGGAGCAGCAGCAGGGCTGAACAGGACCTGCCACGTTGGGGTGCTCCAGGTGCTGGGCGGTCACAGCTTGGCCACTGCTGGGTGACCCCCCAGGTTCTCTGTGAGCAACACAATCACCTTTGCAGCACTTTCAATTACTGCTTTCCATTCAACCACATTCGGTCTCCTACAGAAAAGAACTAACAGAGTCA